AATGGTAACAGTCAGCACAATATGCAAGCGAATGTAACAAGTGCAGCTTTTGTACAAACTAGACCTTGCACACATCCAGCACGTGTCATCACTGCTGGCTGTAGGGAATTCTGTTTGTAACAGCCATTTAACTAAAAACAGAACAGGAGATCATAGCGGCAATAAAACCGTTACAGTCTCGCCGATCACCAGGCCCTGATGGCTTACCGAACGAGTTTTATGCCGCCTTTGCTGGAAAACTAGCCCCCGTGTTAGCTACATTATATACTGACTCTCTTGCCAAAGGTGTTTTGCCTGATAGCCTAAATCAAGCTTGTATAACATTACTTCCCAAAAAAGACAAAAACCCTTTGGAATGTGGATCCTACAGGCCGATTTCACTCCTCAATTCAGACTACAAAATACTAGCGAAGGTTTTGGCCAACCGATTGGAAAATTTTTACCCAACATAATCTCTTCAGATCAGATTGGTTTTATTAAAAACTCCTTTTTTAGTATTCGTAGACTACTCAATATAATGTACACCCCCAGTCAAGCTGAAAGCCTTCTCTCCATGGATGCGGAGAAGGCTTTCCATAGAGTAGAATGGGAATATCTATTTGAGACCTTACAAAGATTTGGGTTTGGAAGTTCCTTTTTGTCCTGGGTGAAATTACTCTGTGCCTGTCCTTCAGCTATGGTACTCACTAATAACCATTATTCTAAACCGTTCCGCTTGCATCGTGGAACCCGTCAGGGCTGCCCCCTCCTTTTCGTGTTAGCTATTGAGCCGTTGGCAATAGCTATAAGAAGTAATGGTGCCATTCAAGGCATTTCGCGATATGGAACTGAGCATAAATCTCTCTATGCTGATGATCTCCTGCTGTTTGTGTCAGGCTGAGGTAACAATTCCCTCCATTCTTGAACTTTTTGATGCATTTGGGCTTGTGTCAGGCTATAAATTGAATCTACACAAGAGTGAATTACTGCCTCTAAATATGCCTCTTTCCACATTAGCAAACATTACTGTTCCCTTCAAGATTGCAACGCAAGTTACACCTCAGTATGCAACAAGACTTGTCAAAATGGTCGCCGCTTCCTCTCTCGTTAGTTGGGAGAGTGAATGTAGTTAAAATGTCTGTATTACCCAAATATCTTTATCTGTTTCAAAGCCTCCCTATATACATTCCGAATGCTTATTTTAAGAAATTGGACTCTGCAATTACATCATACCTTTGGAACAACAAGAAACCACGTTTGCATAAAACACATCTGCAAAAGTCAAAGCAAGACGGAGGCCTGGCTCTACCGAATTTCCGTTATTATTACTGGGCCTCCAGTTTACGCTGTCTGACCTACTGGCTGCACTAACAGAACGATTGCAGCGGACCCGTATGGCTAGATATGGAGAAGCTCTCTTCTGGTTCTTTCTTGCTATCGTCTGTCGTAGGTGCATCTATCCCGTTACCCAAAAGCCTGTCAATTGAGAATCCTGTAGTTAATAATACTATCCAGATTTGCTTTCAGTTTAGTTTACATTTTGATCTTCTGAAGATGTGCTTAGGCAGCCCAGTAGCTTCCAACTATGTTTTTTCCCCTTCAATGTCTGATGCCACATTTCAGGGCTAGCAGAGGCGAGGGCTGAGATCTTTAAAAGAACTATTCATTGACGGCACGTTCACCTCATTTGAACAGCTGACTAATAAATACAACTTACCCCCCTCTCATTTCTTTAGGTACCTACAAATACGACACTTTCTTTCAGGCTCTATCCCAGGGTTCCCAAATAAACCCCCTAATGATGTAATGGATGACATTATGTGTTTTAACCCGGCTAAGAAAAAGGCCATATCATCAATACTTGTTCTGATTTTGCGCCTGGGTTCTTGTTCTATGTCTGCAATCAAGTGATCCTGGGAAGAGGATCTTGGAATCTGTGTTGCTGAAGCCGACTGGGGCAATGTTTTAAGTAATATTCACTCGTCCTCCATGTGTGCAAGACATTGGCTTCTGCAGTTTAAAATAGTGCACAGGTTCATCTTAGCAAATCAAAACTGGCAAAGATGTATCCCCAGATTGACCCAACGTGCGAAAGATGTAAATTGGCAGAGGCGACCTTGATCCATGTGTTTTGGTCCTGTCCCAAAATACAAACTTTCTGGACGGATGTCTGTGGGGCTTTGTCATGCATATTTGGAATGAGAGTGTCACTCAATCCACTTTTATTTTTATTTGGGGTCAACTCCGATGGTCTGGCACTACCAGCAGGTGGTCAAAGAATTATTGTCTTCTCTACACTATTGGCAAGACATCTAATACTTTTGAAGTGGAAGGACGCAGCCCCGCCCACAGTTTCTCATTGGGTTAAGGATGTATTATTTCATCTTAAATGAGAGGAAATTAGGTTCGTTTAGAGAGGCTCTGTAAATAAATTTAACAAAGTCTGGAAACCCTTTTTGATATTTTTTGACCAACCCGTGTTTTGACCAACACAGGTTCAGGAATGACCTTTATTTATTTATTTATTTATTTATTTATCTATTTTTAATTATATTTGTTTGCTTATTTTTTCTTTCTTCTTATTCTGTATACCTTGGCTGGTGTTATTTTGCATTGTATGTTTTTCCTTTTAAACTTTTGATTACTTGACAGCGAACAGGGGTGTTGTTTGTTAGGGTGGGTTTTTATTTTTATTTTTTCCCCTCTTTTACTTTTATTTGATGCTTTGTATTTTTGTATTTCATTGTGGAAAATAATAAATATATTAAACACTAAAAGCATAACAGAACTAAACTGAAACATAGTCTTTAGCAGAATGCTTGATTGGATACTGTATGAACTGATGCTCTAACTGTAGCTGTTCAGTGACTCGGGTTCAATAAGACATTACACTGTAAAATCTTTGGGCAGTACTGTATGTGTTATGCCTGAAGATTAGTGATGTGCCATACCACTGATCTCCTTTCTGATCCGATACCGAGTAAAATTCAGGGTGGTATCGATGACACTGATCCGATACCGATACTTTGTGCAAAAACTTAATGTGTTATTGTATTTCAGATTATAGCTTCGTAATGATTGCAGGACATCAGACTGCTTGTTCTTATTGTTTAATTATGAAGAATTATCATATAGAAATAAAGAACCTGAAGCTGTGTGTCGATGCTATTTGAACACACATATGTTGTCATTTAACATGTAGATACTTACCTGGACGCTTCACCAAAAACCAAAAACATTCACACTTTCCCTCGTTCACAGCAGTGCTGTGCAGTGTTGGTCAAGTTACTTGAAAAAAGTAATCAGTAACTAATTACTGATTACTTCCCCCAAAAAGTAATCCTGTTACTTTACTGATTACTTATTTTCAAAAGTAATTAATTACTTAGTTACTTTTAAAAACATGATTTACAACCTGAGTAGGTGATAAAGCGATAGATCTCTCAGCCCAATTCTACTTTTTCTGCATAATCCATCATACAAAATGTAATCAAATGGAAAAGTCCCTTTTTTTAACTTGTTTTATTAGTTTTAATCTTTTAACTTTATGCATCAAGCAAAAATTTAATTATATGCAACATTCTCTGACTGGAAGAAATTAGTTTAACATTTAAACCTATTTTCTGCACATTCCAGCACATAAAATAAAATATTTTGTGTGTTTACACTCAGTCTTTCAAATAGATGCAAGTAAAACACAGCAGAAAATAAATAAAGTCAAAGACTCAGCGGTCCTGTTGCTCTATTTTCACCTGTAAAGCAGGAGTGGGGCAGGCGGAGGTTTACCCTGGTGCAGGTGTGCCGCGGTCAGTGGAAGAATCCGTGAGTTTCTCTGTGAGTTTCCCATCACGTCGTAGCTACTCGGTGCTTGTTGGAAGTTTAGGGGTTTTTTTCGCTGTAAAAAGAAGTTTTCTTCCCACGCACAGCGGACACTAATGTTTTTGTCACTTTTTATGGAATCAAACTCAAAGTAAGGTCAGTACTTCCACGCTTTAAACGCTGCACGCTCATACTCTCTCTGCACTCGATATGTGATCCATTGTTGATCTGCACACAGCTGTTGTCACGGACGTCGCACTCGCTTACGTCACTGTCATGAGACATTCTCGCAAAAAATCACGGTTTTAGTAACGCAGTAACGCAGCGTTCCTACGGGAAAGTAACGGTAATCTAATTACCGTTTTTGCAATAGTAATCCCTTACTTTACTTGTTACTTGAAAAAAGCAATCGGATTACAGTAATGCGTTACAAGTAAGTACAAGTACTGCCCATCTCTGGTGCTGTGCCACACTACACATTTTGGTATCGATCCAGTACCAAGTAAATACAGGGCCAGTACTGTCGATGTGACTCAGGCAGCTAAATGGGGGAGAGTAGTGTGCCACGATTAATGAGACGAATTCTCAACTAGCAAATTGTGAAACATTTTAAACAGAAACTGGGTTTTTGGAGACCTGGAATGTTTTTGTGTCTTTCAGCACACAAAAAGCTTTGAATTTTTCATAGTGCATGTTGGAGTTTTATTTTTCCCAAAGACATAATTAACACAGTTCAGCGGGCTACACACTGAAGGATAAAAGCAATGTATCGATCCGATACCAATACTAGTGTTGGTATCGATACTATTGATATTTGGATCGATCCGCCTACCTCTACTGGAGATTTGATTTAGGAAATTCTGACATGCCAGCTCATCTGGCATCTCACTATCCAGCTGCCAGGACTGGATAGCCCTGGCAGCTGGATAGCCACACCTTTGGAGTGGGAGTCGCAAGTTCAATTCCCATCCAGTAAGGGTCCTGGCTAGACCCCCCATGCTAACAAAAAAACCAAGCCCTGGAATGGCACGGTTGCGTCTGCAGCTCGGACACAAGCATTTCACTACTCTGCATGATTGTGTATGTCACATATAAAGGTTGCTTTCATCGAGAAACATCGGGGCTACATTAGTCTGCTCAGTTTGCACCCTTGTAAAGTGTGAGGACGGATCAGCTGATGATCAGTGCTGCTTTTTTCTTACCTTACTTAATCTGCAGCATTCATCCATGTACTCATCCAGGCTGTCACTGGTGATACTCCTTTTAATAGGCTCGGGTTCAAAGACTTTGCTTGTCATGTCGTCACAGCTTTGTATTAAGGATTGCTCTCCAAGCCTCGTATCCTCTGAGCCGGTCCTTCCTGTCACAGCCCTGGACTCTTCAGCATCCTCACTTTGTTCAGGACCTGAAACCATGCAGTGGTTCACATCCTCACCTATGTGCAACTCTACTGTTATAGCCGAAGAAATAAGTGTATTTGAATGAATTAACAAACCATCCTGTGTATCCACTGTTGTATTTAAACTGTTATCCGCTGAGTCATTTGCCTGGTTTTTCTCAGTGCTCTTTGTATCTGCAACAAGTCTGTCAGAGAGGACGGTGGGCTCAGAGTTTAAGTTGGAGGAGTCACAGGAAGACTCTCGACTGTGCACCACAAAGCTCTGCTCAGATCCTGTTGGGGTGGATGGTGAATGAGCTCCGCTGGGAAGCTCCACTCCAGAGTCCTCTGATTCACACTTGAACAAGTTTGAGAGATGAGTATCTGACAAAATGGCAGATGGATATTTGGAGCCAGGCTTGATCTGAGGCTGCCCAGGCTTTTCATCAAGCTGAGAATTCAGCTCGGGGTGTGAGTTGTCCTGGTCAATAAAAAGCTTCATTTTTGTCAGGACAACCTCACTGTCCAGTAATGTGTTTTTACTGCCTCCTTTACCTGTTAAATAGAAAAAGAAATATGTGTCAGTTGTCATTTTTCATATTTTAGGAAGTCCTTCAATACTGTGATGACTGTCCTAACCATTCTCTGAGCTGTTTGAAACGGTTTGAATCCAGCGAACGCGTCTTTGAGTAAAAAGTTATTCGGTTGAAGAATGTTTGTCATCATGGTTAAAAATTTTGGGAACAGTTTCCTGGTTGAACTCCAGGGCCAAGAATCGTACTTCCTTAGACAAAGCTCTTTCTTAGCCAGACACAGTCGTAGCTTTCTTCTTGTCATATACACGGTAACATGCACACTACCTTGTCTATCATTATGTTTAAATGTTGTAAAGGAGATACTGTGGAGGAAACTACCACAAATGAGACCTTGTTAACTTTGGGAGGGGTGATATGTGTACATCTGTCACATTGTGTCTTGTACAGCAGTGCAAGTACTTGTCACCACCTGTATGATGAGGATGATATGAGGATCTTGCTGTAGATCTACAGCTGGTCACAGGGAGTACTGAGCACTTAATGTAACGTCAACATGTTGACGGCATTGGGGCATTTTGGTCGAATATATTTCCAGAAAACAAAGGTGGATATCTTGTCAAAGCAAATGCAAAATTAAAACCTGTTTGCTTTTATCCTCTCTGAGTGGAGGAGGCAGTTCTTGCATGGGAATTTTGACGAAACTATAAACGTAAAACAATATGAATGAAAGTAGAAGTCTTTCTTGTCTAAGCACAGAAGAAAACATGTAAAAGCAGTGTGTGTTTGTGAGAAACAGCTTCCCTCTGAAAGAAGGGACATTGTAACTGTAAACGGTGGCGGCCTGAACTGAAAGATGAATGAGACACAAGTAATTTAATAAAAACAGGATGTCAGAGGAGCAGCCACAAAACTGCTGTCGGTTATATTGGATCTAAACTATTCAAGGGCAGCTCCTTTATTACCCGCACAGCTGTCCAGTGTAAACACTAGAATACCACAATGCAGAGCGAGCTCAGGTCTGTCAGCAACTAATAAAAGATCATTACAAACTTTTAAAAGCACAGTTTCAGTTCTATGTAACATTTGGAAACCAGGCTGAAATGAGAATACATTCAAGACTTTCTGCTTTTCTACAAATCCTTCTGAGAGCCTGAGTCCAGGGATACGTTTTAGGTTTAACACAGTTGGTTTTACAAGAAGCAAAACTCAAGAGCATTTGAGCAAAGTGAGCAGATGATGAGCTCACGGCTTAAGGGAGCGATTGTCCAAGGGAGGGGCCCAATATTCTGATAAACAGCAGAGGAATGTCCAGCAGGGATGATGCAGGGGTCACGCACACATAAAAGAAGTTTAACTGGTGGACATGGCGCAGAAATTTGAATTATAACAGACATGTGATCAGAAAAGTTTAAACTGCAAATTAGAATATCACATAATTACAGAGCACGAGATGAGCCTGAACGCTCACGGGAGGGAGCGCCGACTGAACACGACTAAAAGAGTCAGTGAGGTTCAGGACGTCTTTCACCAGAGGTTTCAAAGTTGACATAAATATCAGCAGTGAGCATCTAAAACGGTTGAAATGGTGAATTTGCAGTACTGTGGTTAAGTTTAATGACTCCCTATGATTCTTTATGGTGGGCAGCCAATGACAGGTTACATCAATTATTCTTATTTATCTTGTGAATTTATTTAATTTGATGGTTTTTTATACTGGCGTTACAAATCAGCCTCACAGTGTTTGTAACATCTGCTTATGTCTTGCTGAATTCAGCCCTAAATCCACAAGAAGCAGTGAGCAGCACGTGTCAGCTGATCACAGCCTGCAGCTCACAAAACGAGTGATTATGTGACTTGTAATTCTTTTCCACACAGTGCACTGCTACACCTGATCTTAGGGTTCATGCCAAATCCTATTTTAACACATCCTGGCTACTGTTGTTGGTTTTAAATACACAGCATACAGAGCTGAGCTCATACTGCTGTTAGAACTAAATTATATGTAGCCTGAAAGACAGCACTATACTTGCTTTTAAAGATTGTTACTTTGAGCACATGATAACTATTCGAGGAAATACAGATGAGATTATCAGTACTCTTACAAAATGAGCAGAACATTACATTTAGAAAGCTACACCAGGTATCAGCGTTCTTCATCAACACAAGGTTATAATAACCATATCTGAAATAATGTGAACATTTTAGTGTATTCTAATAGCATCTCACAAAGTGCTGAAGGTAGGCTGAGCAGCAGTTATTATATGATGCTACTCTTCTGTCTCTTTGCCCTCACTCTCTGACCACTCACAAGTTTCCCTTCAGTTGAATTAAAGGTTTTGTTCATTTATTGCATTAACCCAGAGTTAGCCAGCACCCATGCTTCTCCTTGGAGAAGAGGAGGCAGGTCCACACGTGTCCATTAGGCGAGGCTGCTTTGTTATCAGTTGCAACTCCTTTGCAGAGTTTACTTGTCAAAGCCAAATAGCAGCTGATGTGTTTTCAGTGACAGAAGAGCCCACGAATTTATTTCCATAAAGAAATAACAGAAAAGACAAAACCATCAGAGCGATTAAACTATGTACAGCAGCTCGTCTCAATAATCCTGCACCCCTGTTCATGTTCATGCCTGCACACAAAAATGGGCGAGTGCAATTACACACTAAAGCCACGTCGGCCATGTGAACAGACTTCTGGCCATTGTGATCCAATCGCCGTCCATCCCTAAAGCGCTCTCTGTGCAGTAACTGTCAGCTGGACAGGTGTCGCCGTGATCCAGCTCTGGATCCAGCTGTCCTCATCCTGGCCAAACAACACAAACAGGTATTTTATCCTGTAATTTACAGCAGTCTCTGTCCTAGTGTCTGTGCTTTCTAAACCCAGCAACATATTATTACAGACAGTCCACCAACGCTGCCCCCACCCAAATTCATTCTAAAGCTCGTCTCTGTCCGAAGACGTCCTTCAGCTGTTTCCATCATATTTATTCACGTTCCACTGAGTTTTCAATCAAGCGAGTACTTAAAAAGTCTGAGTTGAGGACTAATGCTGTTAAAGTAGAGTAAGCAGAGTGCCCTGTTGCCTCGTCCTGATGCCTAAGCGTTCACACCTTAATAACAAAGCTCTGAGCCGCCTGGAAGGCAGAGGGAAACATCCTGTCTCCGCACGCGCACTGTGTGATGATAAAATGTATGTCGCTGGATTCAAGTGCACCCAAGTGGTATCAAGACCTCAGTTAATGTTGCATTGTGAGTATGGTTTAATGATTATTATTAACAGTTGGGTGATGGTGCTCTTATGGACTTTGTAACAGCCGTTATGGTGTGGTGTCCCTTTAAGACACCCAAGTCGAGGGTTGATGGTGTTATCAGTGTGTGCCATTGCTCTCTCGCTTTCTCTCTCTGTGATTATGAGGACACGTGCCTTCACGCTCGTGCTTAACGAGGGACGGACTTATGTTTTCTTTTCGAGACCCTTTTTTTTGTTTTGTTTGCAGCGCTTGGGTTGTATGAACGCTGGGCATTTTGTTGTTGAGCCGCAGCCGTTCAGCCGGGCTTTTATACGCTGAAGAATTAGCAACCGTATTAAATATTAAAGAACCACCGTGGATTACTGATACCAGTGTGGGTGTGTATCCTTCCGCCTAGCCTGCTAGGTGTTTTGCCGCCTCTTCTCAACCACACAACACAACCCAACGTTACAACTTACATGTTTGCAAAATGAATTTCCTCAAAAAAATAACAAAAACTTTGGCATCTCAGAATCATTTGTTTTATTACGATAACAAATAAAGTTGTGTTTAATCTGCAGCTTTTCCAAACTGTAATAATAATAATACAAATGCTTAATGTGAGCAGTTGTCTGGAAATCATTTTAAGCAGCTCTGGTGACATCAGATGTTTTTTGTCTGCTGGACATTTTTCAACCAATAATAATGCTGATATGATAATAACCTCAGTTGTTTCTTTCATTTGTGATGCCAGTAACCAGGTGAGGAAGCTAAACTGTGATATTTATTGGGTAAAGGCTATGTTACTTAAAGTTTCCAGTAAAAATGATTTTTAAAATAAAGATAATATTTATTTCTAAATAAAAAAAACATGACAAAAGTATACTGTATGTGTGCAACATGCTGAATAAGCAAAAGTATCATAAATGGAAGAAATACAAACTGTGAATGTGGCTCCAAAGACGATCATCATACACCCTTAAGTGAAGCACTTTTTCTTCCCATGAAATCACCTTCAAACTGCACACGCTCTTATAAAAGGTGGTTTTCCAGAGCCCTTTACTTTTCTTATAGATGTGGACTAAACCTTCTGGTTTGTGCCCTCTGGCTGTCTCTTAATGCAGAGAACGACATTTACAACACAGAACACATATGGAAAGCCTTTGGGCTTAGGTGTTGGTTTAGTTGGCCTCTGACAACACGAGGTCATAAACAGGCTGCGACAGGCCTGCTATTTTTACAGCCCTGCTGTGGTGTGTGTTTGTCAGGGTCACTGTGGGTGGTTAAACTGACCACTTATCATCTGGAGCTGCAGAAGAAGAGGCTTAGGTGGAGCAGCCAAGCATTTTTTGTTGTTTTAGGAAGGCTGGTCTTCTGTATGGAAGCCCGTTTCCGCCACTAAATAAAAACAAAAAAGCTAGTATGCATAACTCGAAATTTTGAGTTATTTTCTCAAAATTTCGAGTTAGCTCTGCCAATCAAAAATATACGTGAATGAGGTTGCTTTCTTGTTACCCGGAAGCATATGGCGCAGAGGAGCGCGCACTCAAAAACGGATCCCAACAAATTGGCGCTTTGGCGAGTACGTTTGCTGATAGTAACACCGTGTGATTCAGCTAATAACAGGGATTTCATCATTTGTGAAGCCAGGCTGAAAACACTCAGCAATCTGTGCAACTGGATGTAATACAGCTTAGCTGTAGCATTTGTAGCTGAGGCTTCAGCTTCTGGGTAACGACGAAATGACGTCATTCACGTAGATTACTGATTGGCAGCGCTAACTCGAAATTTCGAGTTGCTTTTCTCAAAATTTTGAGTTAATAAATCGAAATTTCAAGTTAATATGTCGAAATTTTGAGAAAATACTCGAAATTTCGAGTTGCTTTTCTCAAAATTTTGAGTTAATAAATCAAAATTTCGAGTTAATATGTCGAAATTTTGAGAAAACTAACTCGAAATTTCGAGTGGCTTTTCTCAAAATTTTGAGTTAATAAATCAAAATTTCGAGTTAATATGTCGAAATTTTGAGAAAATACTCGAAATTTCGAGTTGCTTTTCTCAAAATTTTGAGTTAATAAATCGAAATTTCGAGTTAATATGTCGAAATTTTGAGAAAATAACTCGAAATTTCAAGTTAGTTTTCTCAAAATTTTGAGTTAATAAATCGAAATTTCGAGTTAATATGTCGAAATTTTGAGAAAATAACTCGAAATTTTGAGTTATGGATCCTTTTTTTGTTTTTAGTGGTGGAAACGGGCTTCCATACTTCTGGGCTTAGAGCCAAGGTGGTGGAATATTATCAGTGTGTTTTTGTCTACGAGACATCCATCAGGTCTAATTTGATGCTTCCTGTTAGGGACGTGGAGAAGTCATCAAATTCTAGTCTGGATCAATTTGATGAAAACTAGTGATTGTCTTTAGTCATTAAATCTTGGTGAAACTGTTTATTCTGAATAAATTATGACAAATCAGCAGTTTTTTCCTGGATTTGTTCAACCGACTAAAGTATCACAAACAAAAACAAGGAAACTGACATTGCCTTTATATTTTATGTACACAGAACAGATGACAAAGTAAGTCAAGCATCGAGCCCTTCAGTCCTTCCCAGCTCATCGGTCATTACTGGCCTGGGACCGAAAACAGCATCCCCAGTCATAGCCCTTTCTTATTTTCTAAAGCAATGTTGTTTTCAATAGAACATTTCTAAATGTGTTGTCTTATTATTGCAGTTAGACTTGAGTACTAAAAAGAATATTTGCATAACAAAGTTTCACAACAGGAATTCCACTGCAGTTTATCTGCAGTCAAACATAAAATAAATCCGATGAGCCCTGCCGTGAGGGCAGGAAATCAAGCTAGTAGCATATGTTTGCACCTGCCTCCTACACTGAGCTTACATTGAAACAGAAGGCACAGCTGGGGCCCCTGTTATGTTTTCCACTGCTTCCTGACCACGGTGCCATCCATCCGTGCTACTCGGTCTTCTTTATCAAAGTCAGTGGGGCCCCATCTTATCAAAAACCATTAAGATAAGACAAGAATGTGCAGGAGCACGGTAACTCGAGTCAGAACTGCTTCTATTAGTCTCTCCCATTCTTGGTGCTGTCTTTGTGTTGATGAAATTAGTGGCTGTCCTTTAACTGGTGATTAAATGGTTACAAACTGAAAGCTTGCTAGTAGTTGCACAAGTACCACAAACAAAAGCATGGAAACTGACATCAGCTTTTAATTTTATAGAACAATAACTCTCACATGCTGCTCAAGATTCAAAACACTGAAGAACAAGAACAGCTGAGAAACAAAAGTCACGGACATCACTGTGCAATCGACGACGGAGCCATTTCCAAGGCTTCAGGACTTTATGAGAGGAAAAAAGGAGACTTTACCTTTCCTCCAAGGGGCCATGATGGAAAATGACTTCTGCCAGCTGATGACAAGTGCAGCCTTTTTTTTCACACTCATCTCGTCGTAGCAAAATTTGAATTCCAGAAAACTTAAATGTGAGTTTCAGAGAGGAAAGATGAAAGAAAAGGTCCTTAGAGATTCTTCATGATGTATTCTGCCTTGAAGATCAGCTGTGGGAAAGGTGTCTGTTGTTGGAGGAGCTTGCATAGAGGCTGCCCTCGATAGCGGAGTCATGATTCCTGTGTCCCTTTGCTGTGGTGCTTGAGTAAAAGCAGCTCCCAGGCTGAGGAGGGGCTGGGCTCAGGCAGCAGTGTTCACAGTCAGGAGGAGGAGAATGGCCACGAGACATCGACTACAAAGCAATGTTCGATGAGTGAAGTGCTGCCAGTATGTACACAGCTTAGTAACAAAAACAAATATGAGAAGTGTTTATCTGGTAGTGCAGTCGTACTCTCATTACGTTCTTTTCTCAGTAGGCAATGGATGAAAGTTAATTACTTCAATTTTGCAATGTAAAAATTGTAACTTGTTTCCTTTAAAGGAGTCCAACAATAAAACACGTTAGTTTAGACTGTGGAGGCTGTTTCTCCCAATCACAGCCTAGATCACACGATCCCCCCAGGAGGACGATATAGTCCCCACAAGGGAGTCCAGGATTATATATTCACTTATATAAGCCCTTTTAATACGCTTAAAGAACCAATTAAATCATCATTCTATGTGCATTTTTTCAATTCAATTTTATTTATATTGCGCCAAATCACAACAACAGTGGCCTCAAGGCGCTTGCATCCATTCACTTTCCTATTTCTGTGCCCTCGAGCGTCCCACACAGCAACTATAAAACAGCTCTGCTGATTGATGTTAACATCCATGTAGATGCTGACGATGACAGACTCAACCTTAATTAGTTAGACTCAGTTTGCTTTTTTCAAAATGTAGTCCAAAACAGTTCTTGAATAATTAATGATGCAGATGCTGCCTGTGGCTGCAGACAGTACTCAGAGGCACTTTTCATTATCTGTAGGGATTTTAATCACGTCTCACTGGACTCCACTTTGCCTGCTTCCACCAGTTTGTGAACTGTCCACTAGGAATAACAGGACAACTGATCTACTGCATGCTAATGTAAGGGATGCATACGGAGTCACACCTCTACCCCCACTCTGAAAGGCAGACCATAACGTTGTTTAGCTACAGTACACCCCTCTGCTTCACCACACTGTGTCGGGAAATGCAGACAGACTGCTTTGAATCCGCTGACAGAGGAGACCTCATCCACACAGATATTCATGTAGTCAGTCAGACAGCCGGCGATCCCTTCATTGTCCTTATCAGTGGATCCAGCAGCATGTTTTTCTAATAAAAACTACAGGTGGTGAAGGGTGTCCTCAACAGGAAGAAGGTGACCTTCAGAATAAAGGACAGGTCAATTATCAAGTCAGCGGTAGGTGAAGCAGTGCCTGCAGGTGGCACTACAGGACACGTGGAGGAGAGGCTACCTGGATCGGCAGCCATCTCACGGAAAGACCCCACTATATCAGGCTGAAGGATATCAGCAGCACTGGTGCACCTCGGGTCACGGTGCTGGCCCCTCTTCTCTTCACCTTATACACTTCAGACTTCTGCTCAGTGATGTGTCAGAAATTTGCAGATGACACAGGCATCATGGGGTGTGTTAGGAATGGCAGAGACGATGAGAACAGAAATCTGGTGAGCGACTTTGTCTGGAGCCAGAGGAGCCTCCTACAGCTCAACACCTCAAAGAACAGGGAGTTTATCGTAAACTACGGGAAGTCCAGACCATGCCAATGACCAGTCCTTTTTTAGTTTTTATTCGTCCTATATTGTTTGAGTGTGTGACTATGAAAATGCCTGTGTTTCTGTCACAAATGTGCTTGATAATGAGGGTGGGAAGCTGCAGCAATGCCCCCAGAAGCGTGGGGGCAGACAGAGGTGGGGACACGGCAGTCTTCTTGTTGCATGTTGAAGCTCGACTTGGAACCTCGTTAAGATCCAACCATGCAAAATATGATTTTATTTATTTATTTATTTTTTTACCATTTTTCAAGTACTCTTAAACTTTTGATCAGGACTTTATTAGGTTCTGAAGTTTGGAGTTAATGCAAGGAATCGAGAAGAACACTCATTTTGCAGGTGGAGGCCGTGAGGCTCTGGGGAGGGCAACTGAAGGAGTGTCTGGGAATGTGGTTCCAACCTGGTTTTCCTGATAATACAGAGGAGGCAGGAGGACAGGCAGATTAAAGCGGTGAACAGTTTTGATTCTGAGGAGTGGGTTACAGAGACATGCCAAAGAGACCAGCGTCCAGGTAACTGAGCTGCAGGGGAGTGAAGCAGTGACTTAAGTGAGGTAAGTGAGATGGGTGACAAACTGGCAGAGAATAGATGACTGCGCTGGTCTTAAATACAGACTTGCTGACTGTTGTCAGTGGATGACAGGTGAGTATGGTAGGTGAGGAACCAGGGCTCCACAAGTAAACACAGGAAGGCAGTGGAAAAACACCAGATGCCCACTGTGATCCTAAAAAGTTGTGTAGATTAGAGAAATCCAAATGAAATTCAAACTTGTTTACCCAGTTTTTCTTTTCAAAGTCAATAAACGTGTGTGCTGTGCGATCATTCCACCCTGAAAAAAGAACCTTTCAGAGAAATCATTTAAAGCACAAAATAATCTTTGCTCATTCTGACCACAAATTTCACCTAAAAAAGATCACAAGACTGAAGACAGGAACTGGTATAACCCAAGTCAGAGTGGTCACAGGGAGGGAGCAATCAAAACATTTTAACAACCTTCCAGTATGACCCTCCCTATCACTTGCTCTAGTTGCTCTAAATTGGGTTATCCATGCGTAATCAGCTTGTAAGACCTTTTATGTCCATCCACTAATTGTCAGAGTTACCCTGAGGAAATCACTCTTATTTCATTTGTCAGATACGATCACGGATGTTGGCTCTTTCCTTTCGCCCTCCAAACGTCAGAAGGAAAAGCACTGAAGAAACAACATTAACCGTGATGGGACTCTCATCACAGTTGAAGTTCACACATGCGTGTGTGTGTGTGTGTGTGTGTGTGTGTGTGTGTGTGTGTGTGTGTGTGTGTTTATTAGGCCTAGCTCTAGAAAGGTATATTGGTTGGTTAATACATCAGTGTACCAAAACTATTCTAAGGCAGTGTGTGACAGCTGTAAACCTTTATTAAGACTAATAAGTGTTGAGACTGAGAGTGTTACTGTAGTGTTACTGTAGTGTTACTGTAGTGACTGCATGAGGATCATGAGCTAGTTTTCCAGGGTAGGGGAACTGACCTGTTAAGTGCTACTGAATGGGATCAATTTTTGTTTTTTTTACTTTGGTTATTGGCTCTAACGGGAACTGTGAAATTTCTAGCAGGAAAACTGATTGCACTGTGCAAGGTAGTAAACAGCTGTTTTTCCATGATATGACCTTCAATGCACATATTAAACAAATATGACTGCTTTCTTTCATTTGCTCAACATTGCTAAGCTTTGCATATTCTATTGTATTGAGTTACAGTAAAATTATTCTTTTGACTTAGGTAACCATACACCTTTTAGGTGGCTGTAGTTCAGGCGGTAGACTAAGTCAGCTACTAACCAGAAGGTTAGCGGTTCGATCCCAGGCTCCACCAGTCTGCATGCCGAATATCCTTGGGCAAGATCCTAATCCCATGTTGCTCTCCGATGCATCCATCAGAGTCTGGAAGTCAGTTTAGAATTAGTCGTTCAGCGCTTTGAGTGCTTAGATTAGAAAAGCGCCATATAAGAACCAGACCATTTGCCATGTTACACAACATAAAGTCAAACTCACTCCAAACTGCAGATACTACATTAGCCTGTAATTAACACCGAAGAAAGTTCTACAGTTTGCTTCATTTTAGACAACTCTCAGTCTTGGGTTTTCCAGGTAAGACAAATCCCAGAAGGCTGATACTATTCATCTGGATGTGAGAAATATCCATCAGTAATGAGGGACGTTTGAAAGTAACATGTAAAGGAGATGAGCTTGGCTGGTTGTCAAACTGGGTGCATGGAGCCATTGCAGGGTTTCAGCAGATGATCAGGATACAAATATGCTGTTAAATGCTGTAAAAAAATGTAATGCTTGATGTCATGATATGGTACAGGGAAAACCAAAAACAAGCCAAAAAACACTGCTGATAAGTTTATTTCTCCAAGTGTCTTTATTAATCTCCTTTCCTAGATAAATAAAATTGTGGCGTCAGTGTGTATGAATTCTGTTCAGTTTCTAACGGAGGATATTACGGAAGAGGATTAGGGCCACTGAAAAAAAAAGTGGGTCTTTTTTTCTTCTTTTCCAGAATTCTGAGACAAAAGTCAGAAAAAAAGACCCACTTTTTTTTCGGTGGCCCTAATCCTCTTCCATAGGGTATGCTAGGGAAAAGTCTGAAAATCACTAGGCCGGAGTGAGAGCGTTACAATAGCTTGCTGTAACGGCTGGATTTACAGTGAGGAAGACCAAGACACAGTATGGCGGAAACAAGAGGCATTTATTTGCCTGTATAGCTCTAAGGCAGTTACTTGCATGTCGAGCTTTCTTAAATAAATAAATAAATAAAATTTTGTTTATATGGCACCTTTCTAGACAGAATCACAAAGTGCTGCACATAAGATAACAAATAATAAAAGGGTAAAACAGACAATATAAGCACAACACTCACTCACATCCAATAACAGCTGGCAGCCTTAAATACTCTCAGCTGTTAAGGACTAAACAGACAAACATTTGCACCCTGGAGAGCACACAGGAAAGACAGGCGAGCAATCACATCTCAACATCTCAACCAATTCTTTGCACCACCTTTACCTCTTGTCTTTGCACACACGTTACTTTAATTCTTTAATTCTTTCCTCCTCACAGACAACCACAACATTTCTTAATGTGGAGCAGCTGGAGGACCTGGAAAAAGGCTACTTGCTAATTATTAAAATACTCAATAAATAATTAAACCTCTTGTGTGCAAATGTTATTAATGTGAAAATCTATACCTAAAGTGCGATGCTAAATAAAGTGCTAGTTAAAGTGCTTTTAATAAAGTGCAAAGGTGTTCCTAAAGTGCTGCACAATACTAGAAAGGCAGTCCTCTTCCTTACACAAGCTTGTTTCATCTGCCCTCTGCTGGAGAGTTAAAGGGCCTGCGGTCTCAGTGTGACACACGTGTTAATCCTTATGAACTAATGCAGCGGTTCTCAAATTTTTCACAATGAGTAACACCTCATAAAATATATGGCTCTTGAAGTACCAGCCTTATGACCGACATTAAAGAACAGTAATATTTAACACCACATACAGTTTACATGAGACAATTTTATTCCTTATGTGAATGTTATTTATTTTAACTGTCATAAACAGGATGTGACGGTGATAATAATAACATCTGTACTGCATTACAACATTCACAGCTCCAATCTTTAAGTGATGACCTGATGAATCCTGCTTCCAAATTACTCTGTTTATTAAGGTGTTTTGTTTTTAACATGTTTTAATGTTTTGTATCTTGTTCTATTTAATCTGAACAAGCCGCTAAAAACAGTGATCATTGTTGTCCTCTCTCGTTTTTTATTATCACTATGCCCAGCCCATGCAGCAGTATATTAATGACTAACCTCGTATTGTGGATGGATTATCTCAGTTGTTCTCCTGACTGAAGTTTGGTCCGTTTACAGCATCCTGCCATGCGACTGCATTTGTCTCTAACCATCAGGAACCTTCACGTTAACTTTTATCGAGTGCAAAAAGTTAGCGTTCATCCTCCAGCTTCACTGTTATGCTAACCATAGCTGTGCAGCCAGCCACCATGCAGCACATCATTATATACCAGCTGGCCCAACTTCAGTAACCCTACAAACGTCACTGCTGTTTAGTTTTCTGTGGCAGTTAAGCTGCTGGATTTTTGGCTTCACGACCCTCCTTCGCGGTTCGTGCACGTTGGAGCTCCGTTTGCTCTTTGTGGCATTTCAGCCGACTACACAAAATGCCATCATGTGGTGACCTTGCTGGATCCGCTGTTCACCCGCCGTGTGATGACCCTGCTCTGGGATCCCTCCACCAAATGAAAGAAGGAAATGCACCGCTCTCAAGGCGCTGCTGCTGCAGCACCACTCCTTCTCCCACGCAGAGCAGGCCGAGAAACTCCTCTCTCTCTCAGGCCTGGGTGGTGGTACCACTCTCCAGATCATGGAGAGCACGCTGTCCTTGCTAGGAACAGATGACGGTGGATTCCTCTTCACTGACCTCTTCCTCCGACAGCTGCCGGTGCGAGCTGGCCTATACTATGGCCACAAGTTTGCATCTGATTCAGAATACTTCCCTTATTATTTATTCCTAGTGCAATAACAATAAAGTGATAAGAATAAAAAATAATGTTTAGATCTGCTCTCTGTAGGACGGCTTCCGTTGACGTCTCCTGATGTGTACAACATGTTATTACAAACAGCTACTTTCAGTGCTTTTGATGTTTATGTAGCGTCTTTCTCTCCAAGGTTCTTTCTGAGCTAACTTCTATAATTACTTCCTCCAAAGCATCAACGTGTCTTTTAGACCCCATTCCTTCAAAGACTGCTCAGAGAAGTCCTGCCATTAATTAATGCTTCAATCTGAAATGTGATCAACCTACCTCTAATAATCAACTACGTACCACCGCCTTTAAGCTGGTCATCGTTAACAATTATTTACCTCACCTGGCTAATTATAGGCCAGTCTCAAAAAATTCCTTTTGTCTCAAAAATTCTTGAAAGAGTCGTTGTCATATAGCTAACTGATCATCTGCAGAGAAATGGCTGATCTTAACACCTGGGTAACCTCTAATTTTCCTTCTAATAGGCCTAGGCTGCAGACCCTTCAGTACAATAACCTCAGTTTGATCTGAATTTAAAAGCAGAGAATTAGAGGCCATCCAGGTCTGTATGTCTTTAAGGCATTCCTGCAGTTTCACTAATGGATGTGTGTTATCTGGCTTCATGGATAGCAATTTAAGGAGAACATGTGGCTAAACATGTCATTCCTGGTCTGACTGGGGAGGGGTCCAGAGAAAAATGTTTTGGCAAAGTTACACAGCAATTCAATATTGATTTTATTGACCTCCGACTGATGTAACCGGGTGTCATTACTGCTGATGTGAACTATAATTTTACTGAATTTATATTTACTTTTAGCCAGCAGTTTTAAATTTCCCTCAATGTCGCCTGCTCTGGAAGACAACTGACTATGGTTTCTGGTGTCTCTAACCTCACGTCTCAGAACAGAATCGCCAGTTACCAGAGTTTGATCCCCGGCGGGCGTGTCGCTGAGTGGGGAAAAGCAGTTAGACACATGAAGAGCCATCCTGTTTCCACGGCTGCTCAGGACAGTCTGCCAGGGGACAGCTAGCGGGGCCTACGCTACCTTTGGCTGCACCGGCTACAACAGGTCCCTGGCTGGCTACGGGTTTTTCAAGGCTATTCTGTGATCCTGGCCTCAGGAGGTGAAAATATGCTACATTTATTACAAGTATCAGTATTGCTAAAGGAGGCTGCTAGCAAGTGGGTTATGAGATAAGCTAAGCTAGCGAAACCCTAAAGCAGGAGTAGGTTGAGACTGTGAATATAAATTAGTGAGTACACAGAGTGTACTCACTAAGAACGTCTTGATGCATAGTGTAATCGTCACTCTGTGTACTCACTAATTTATATTCACAGTCTCAACCTACTCCTGCTTTAGGGTTGCATCAAGAACGTCTTGATGCATGCTCAGTCATCCAGGTAAGTAATTGGGGTATTGAATAAGAAGTCACCTTTAAGCTTTTAATTAAATTGCTACGCAGATAAGCTATACAAACACATCACTGTGTGTTGGAACAGGAAGTGATATTCTACTGCAGAGAACGCGAACACCACCCAAAGGGACCATTTAGAGCAGGGGTGTCAAACTCCAGGCCTTGAGGGCTGGTGTCCTGCAGGTTTTAGATCTCACTCTGGGTCAACACACCTGAATCAAGTGATCAGTTCATTACCAGGCCTCTGGAGAACTTAAAGACATGTTGAGGAGGTCATTTAGCCATTTAAATCAGCTGTGTTGGATCAAGGACACATCTCAAACCTGAGGGACACCGGCCCTCAAGGCCTGCAGTTTGACACCTGTGATTTAGAGGCAGCAGCCAACCAAGAGAGTGTTTGTCTCGGAGTACCTGTGTGTGTGTGAGCGCACTTATGATCATAAGATTTCTCCATGAAAGTGTCTAATAGTGGGTATGGGGAGCCATATCCCTGCCCCCCAGGTCATGAGGCATGCATGGAGGAGACCCGGGCCCCAGAAATCCAGAGGCCCTGCAGAGCACCCAACGAGGACCACCACAGGAACAACCATGTTAAAATGAAAACTATTCTTAGGCTTTTATGTCTTCTGTCCTCCTTCTCTTCACTGGTTGCAGCAGATGGGTGTGCTTTCCTGAGTCTGAAGAGCGTTCTCTTCCTGACCCAAGTGCTGCTCATGGGGCCTCACAGCAGCAGATTGTTGGGGTTTTCTCTCTAATATTTCTGTACAATATAGGCCTAAGCCCCTGGAGGTGACTGCTGCTGTATAAATAAAACTGAAATTAACTGAATGAATGACAGTGAGAGGGTTGTGGGCGCCAAATCAAGGAGAAGAAACAACATAAATTATTTTAATAACATGAGTGGTCATCACACGCGACCAGAACAGCTTCAGTGATTCTACAGTCCCTGCACTCTGTTGGAGGGAGGGCAAACATTTCACCTCATTTTCATAATAATGGAGATATGGTCATCCAGCTGGTACTGATTTGTGGTTACCAGGTTTTTTTTTAATTGGTCAACTTTAATTTGTATAACTTAACAAAGTCAGCACAGATTTTTTTCTTAAATAATTAAAGGCTGTGCATACATACATGACATAAACATTATAATACTGACATACTGGATGCATATTATGGAAAAGTACTATGGAGTGACAAGCTGTAAATGGGTGCATATGTTCCTGTAACAAGTAGTTTTTCCTTTTAAGTACGCTGACTATTTGGGATCAGCTGCGTATTAAATGTGCAGCAGTAAAAGAAACGACATATTTAGACCACCCACCAAGTAACCACAACATCAGCTGAAATAAGGGTTTTATATCAGCATTCTCACACATTGCTGCTCTGTGGACCAGGTTATCAAAACCTATATTCTGTGTGCGGTTAATCAAAGCCTCACATGCATGTGTCATGTGACCCTGCAGATCTTTCCAGTGGACTTGCTCCATCTAGGTTTGGAGTTCTTCCCTTCATTGAGAAACTGATTTGTGTTTACTTGTGTTATCTTTGTCTAATTTCTAAATGTGTTTGATGAAACTGAAAATACCATACTGTGGCAATCAAATCCATGATGAAACAATCTGGAAACTTAATCAGATGATCCAAACCAGTCTAGTGTGAGGTTCCAGGTGTAACACCCAGCAGGTTTACTTCCTCTTAAAGCTCTGAAATCACTTTATGACGCAGGATTGTTTGATTGTTTCTCTTGATCACTGGTTCTTGTAGGGCTTGTTGATAGCCTTGTTAATCCATCGCAGGAACCTGCTAACACGAGTGTAAACCCCAGGGAAAGAGGGGTTACCACAGCCATGACCCCACGAAATGACTCCTGTCAGCACCCAGTGACCCCTCTCCCCCTGACAAACCAGCGGACCCCCACTGTCACCCTGGCAGCTGTCCACACGGTGGTGCTTCGACAGGCTCCCGGCACATAGCATGCGGCTGGTGAAGCGGTTTCCATATCGTTTCTTACACGTCGAGGCTGGAAGCAGAGGGACCCAGGCCTGGAGCAGGGTGTGTGAGTACTCTGAGTCTGGCAGCAGACATAGAAAAGATGGAAGAAAGTCTCAGTTACATGAGAATGAAACACCTGATAGAAATGAATCCTGAATTTGAAAAACACTGGTGGATGAAAATACTGTAGACCTATTTTGGTGAAGTTTGCAGTACAAAGTTTCTGTGTATTATTGTAGACTCTTTGTCTTACAATGTAAACTGAGGCAGCTGCTGTTGTGGTTTGGCACCACATAAACCAGGGCTGCCCAATCCCGGTCCTCGAGAGCTACCGTCCTGCAGCTTTTAGATGCATCCTTGTTCCCACACACCTGAATCAAATGAATAGCTTGTTATCAGGCCTTTGCCAAACATGATGACATGCTGAAGAGGTAATCACACCATTTGATTCAGCTGTGTTGGAGTAGGGATGCATCTAAAAGCTGCAGGACGGTAGCTCTCGAGGACCGGGATTGGGCAGCCCTGACATAAACAAACTGCAGTATGTTGGACTGGTACACAGCAGACATGGTGTTCATGGTCAGTGTTAGTTGCATCAGGATGAGCTGACATCAGTTTATATTTAAGGCTGATGCTGATTAGATTCACTCACTGAATTCTTTATAATAAATCGTTATACTGTCAGCTTGTGCATCATCTCCGTATATATCGTTGAATCCACCACAAACCACAAAGAGCCGCGAATATTGGAGTAAACATACAGGACTGTTGATCAAAGCTTCACAAAAATATTATTGTTTCTCAGTTGTTCTTTTCTCCACACATTTGTAAGGTCCCACCACCTGCCAGCTATGTGCAGCCCATCCCAGAGAGGATTGTTACTGGATCAAAGTGAAAGTCAGATTTTGATGTTTAACAAGAGCTGGTGTGTTCCCCTAAACTTGATCACTTGTTTTGCACAAATATATACTGAAAAACAAAGAACAAATCTGATGTGGATGGATTCTCTGTTCTTTAGAAGGTAAAAGCTTAAAATGAGGACACCATGTGACTCTGTCCCAAAGTCTTCTCCAGATGCTACACTTACATATATGGACACTATAATTACATAAACTGTTGTTGCATTTTCTGCTCTGTAGAGAAAAAAGAACAAATCTAAAGACAGATTGAACCATCAAATTCTGCAGCAAAGAAACGTGGTGACAGATGATGAGCAGCGAGCCTGCAGTGAAACTTGGATGATCTGATATCCTCGTGTTGGTGTTGTTCCCAGACCATCATGAAAATGTTGTTCCAGGTTCAACATTGCAAGTGACCAATCACATTGTTGTGACGTTATTCTTTTGCGCGCCAAGCCATTCGTGCATTTATGAAATTCCAATGTTGCAAGGACAATATCAATTCTGCTTACTGTTTATTAAAGGGTTAGGGTTAGGGTCAGGGTCCGTTGATCGGCGGACAGAGGCGGTTTCACGCAGCTTAAGTACAGTTTTTTGTTTTACGCCGGTTTTTCCCGAAGTCGCAAAAGTATGACGTCACAACATTCTGATTGGTCACTTGCAACGTTGATCCTGGAACAACATTTAGTATGATGATCTGGGAACAACACCAACACGAGGATATCAGATCAACCGTGAAACTTACCTGTGATGCCCCAGCCAGTTATTACACAGGCAGTCAGCCTCTTCTCCAACTTGTCACCTGGCTCTGGCAGACACACAGCACCAGTGTGAGGGTTGAATGCCACACAGTTTCCCTCTGTGCCTTTCAGACGTAGCAGGGCTATATCATACTCCCAGCTTTGACTGTGGTACTTTGTGTGAATGATGATGCGTTCTGGGGACAACGTGCGTTCGAAGTCATCTTGTTCCACGGTGTGGTAGTCACCGAGACGTAAGACGTATCGCGCCGGGTCTCTGCCAAATCTGGAGGTGAGAAGAAAATCCCTATTTAATGTCTTAAAGCTGAGGGGGATTTCATCTTAGCTAATCAAGTGTTTATTGAAGTTTAATGAAATAAAACTGTAACCACGTGGTGAATTTAAGAAAGCAGACTGGTGTTCTTTTTTAATTACTTGAATTCATACTTGTAATATTTCCTGGTTGGTTTTAGATGTCTTTTATTTTCTTGAACCGGTCGCAGCAGATGGCCCCGCCCCTCCCTGAGCCTGGTTCTGCTGGAGGTTTCTTCCTGTTAAAAGGGAGTTTTTCCTTCCCACTGTCGCCAAAGTGCTGCTCATAGGGGGTCATATGATGGGTTCTTCTCTGTATGTATTATTGTAGGGTCTGCCTTACAATATAAAGCGCCTTGAGGCGACTGTTGTTGTGATTTGGCGCTGTGTAAATAATATTGAATTGAACTGAATTGAATGCCAGAGCTGATAGGCAGGCAAAATACAGAACTATCAGAACAATGAAGGCATGTTTCCTGTTAGAAAAACGAGATACATGCAACTGTTGAGCCTCTAAAGCAGGGGTGTCAAACTCAAATACACAGTGGGCCAAAATTCAAAACTGGAACAAGGTCGCGGGCTAACATTAATATTTATTGAAAAAAAATCTTCCTCTAGATATAAGAATGAATCTTTTCTTATGGACTCAAACAAGTTTTGCTGAAAACCTGAATATGGAACAAGCCAAGCTTAATACTAAACAATATATATATTAGCTGTATAATACCAGCAGGCCAGCTCTGATAGTCATTTGGTGTGGCTTCGCGGGCCAAATGTAATTAGGCTGCGGGCCAGAGTTTGACACCTATGCTCTAAAGTTTAATATAATCACTCCAAAAATAATAGGTAGTTCATCACAAACCAGCACAGACATAGCACCATTGATTGACACCAATTGTGTTTGATTTTGTTAATGTGGGGGGGCTGGTTGACCTTGGATGACCTCTAAAAAATTGTAATAATAACATTGAAACAAAAGCAGCACAAATGTTTAACATGAATTTGTTTGATTTGAAGACGGTGGGCCAACATCACTCACATTAGAAACAATGTGAGTGAACTGCCTCCTACCTCTTGAAGCAGTGGGCAGCAGTAACAAGCCAACAGGAGTTGATGAGTGAGGCGCCACACAGAGGATGGTTGCCTTTAGACTGAGACCTGAGCCACAGGGACACCTGCCACGGCCACTCACCCCTGAAATCAAAGAGTCAGACTCTCAGAGCTGTTTCAGTCAAAGACACTGTCAAACTGCCATGAGACTTCTCAAGCAGCAAAAATGTCCCACTGACATGAAACTTCTGAGTGCATATGTGTGTGTACGCTAACCTCAGTGACTTTTCTCCTCCTATGATTCTTCGCTGACGACGCTGACGACTGAGTCTGCGGCCACAGCTCTGCATTGCTGAGGCACCGTTTCCCGTGGGATCTAGTGTATAATCACAGATGACACCTGCGTCCTCGCTGTGGCGACAATCATGGCCTTCTTGTCCTTCAGCTGGACACTGGCCTAAGGATGTTTCAGTTCCTGAGCATCGCACATTGTCCAGATGGATTGGACCCTGACCCTCACCGAAATACGCCATAGATCGAGCTTTAGCCACGCCACTGCAAGGACAGCACGGAGACAAAACACTTATTCTTTTATTGTATGAGTGTATATGTCATTGTGTGTGCTGTATTGTTACTACTGCCTGCTTCTGCATTGCGCAGGCATTTATTCACCCTTCACACACACACATTCATATACAGCTTTATTCATTGCTGTTATGCACTTTGCGATATCACACACTCTCCTACAGCCACCTATATGAATCATAACCATAAGCTCCTTTTCACCCTGAATACAGAACACAAGAGGATGAAACTTTTCACTTACAATAGGAAAAACCACTGACACAGCCTTCTAGGACAAATATATCTGTAAAAATGTTGTCATACTAACGTGAATCCCAGCTGTCTACAAACTACAGCTGCATTAACGTCATTCCAGCCATCATCGCACACACTTCCCCACTGGCCGTTAACAAACACTTCCACTCTGCCTTCCCTCCTGGTCTCTCCTGCAACCAAACGCACCAGAGGGCCTGAAAACAGAGATCAGAGGGACAATGTGTCGTTACTGCCACAGCGAAATGCTGAGTTGGTGTTGGTCTGCGTAGTGCTACTCAGAAACGTACCTATGGGTGCGTAATTACTTTGTATCTCATTGGCATCACTGTGACAGAGAACACCTACATCCTCACTGTGTGAGCAGTCGTGTTGTCTCCACTGAGAATGAGTGCAGGCCAGTAAAGTGGTCTCTGTCCCGTCACACTGCACCTCATCCAGCTGGATCAACCCATTGCCTTCTTCATACACCTTCTCAGGAGCCACTTCTGCTCGCCCCCTGCAGGCAGGGAAAATGCATGAATGAGATAAACAACAAAAACAATAGTTCCCTATAAGTTCACTCAGACTATTGTTGTGTGATATGAAGACGCACTGACCTGAAACCGAGCTGTCTGCACACTACCTGGGCATTGAGCTCAGTCCAGCTGTCATCACACACAGTGCCCCATTGTCCCTGGTAGTAAATCTCCACGCGACCCTCCCGGTCGCTGGTTGCTCCCACCAGGCGAACTGCACCATCTGAGACCACGCATCGCTAAATTACACACTTGTAAGTATGAACAACTTGTTTTACTGCTTTAGGTCTTTCAAAGGCTGCTACGTTTAGGTTGGACTTTAGCTGAATAATTACTAAAAGCAGCATATCAACACAAAACTAAAGGTGAAAACCAACTCACTGAACAGTGTTAACAAAAGCTCACAGGAAATTTTACCCACAACAAAAGACTGTTGACCTTGTAGCGGCTCTAAAGGAAAAAATAGGTCATCAAAGTCTTAGGATTAAAAAAAAATATTCAGAGCAATATATATAAGTCACACAGTGTGCACGTAAACACACCAGACCTGAAGAAAAAGCTGATCGTCACTCGAATTTTATAGTCACATAGAGGCTGGGGTTGGTGTGTGCTTCCTTCCTTGGCTCTGACCTGTATATGGATTGCAAGACACCCCTGCATCGTCCATGTGTTCACAGTTGTGCTGTTCCCAGTTGCTATGAGGACAATCTTCTAGAGAGAGTTCATTGCCTGTGCACTGAACCCGAGCCAGCAAAACTGGACCAAAACCCTGGCCAAAGTGGGCCCGCGTCCATGCTTTGGCAACACCCCTGTTGGTCAGGACAATTCTGAATTTACATATGCACTACAAGACAGCAGAAATATATTACGAATACATGAATAAGCTGCGGATGTACGGTCCAAATATATGTACAGTGAGCATTAGTGCTGGTATGTGATCCTGCATATAATTAAGTGTTTTCCTGTGTTATCTTTGATCCTCAGATCCCGCCCTCACATGTCTCCCAGTTGGACTTTTAGACGTTGTTTTTCCAGATTCTGGACCTTCTTCATCTCCTCATAAAGATTTGCTGTTTATTTATTAACTCTACCACAAGTCTGCATCCTGGGTCCTCGACTAAACTATCCAATTCAGGGTTGCAGGGAGGTTGAAGGCTATCCCAGCTACCTTATTGGGGCGAGAGATGGGGTACATCCTGGACAGGTTGCCAGTCTATCAGAGGGCTAACACAGAGAGACAGACAGCCATTCACGCTCACTCTCACACCTATGAGCAGTTTAGAATCACTAGTTAACCTAACCACACTAATTGCATGTCTTTGGACTTTGGGAGAAAGCCAGAATACCTGGAGAGAACTCACACAGACATGGAGAGAAACATGCAAGCTGCACACAGAAAGGGCCTGGCTACACTCAGGACCTTCTGTCTATAAGGACAACAGTGTAAAATAAAAGTCATTCAAGCATAAAGTAGTTATATGTTACTTATTATGGCATAATATTTCATTGCATTACAGTCTTTGTTCTTAATTGCACTGGTGAGAAGTAGCCACATTGACTTCTGCATGTCTAAGTTGTAACAATGTTACCCAGTGTGAATTATAATGTTGCATTTCATAAGATAATTTGTCTAAAATCAAAGTGCAAAGATACTGTTTGTGTTAGCTTTGGCACATTTTCAAAGCTGTTTCTTAAAGACAAAAGCATGAAGACGTTCTTCGACTCTAGCTGCCATCTAACTACAGCCACATCTAAGGTGCAGCAATAGCTGTATGACATGTAAACAGTTACATGTGGTTTAACTTACCAATGTGACAATGCCGTGATCATCCAAACACATTTTCTGAACTGTTGTCTTCCTTCCAACTACACTATTGTTGGCTTCATGACCTCAGCTCCTTGTTGTTGCTCCCAGGCTGGAAAGCACAGAAATCTTACTCCATTCTGGAAACATGGTAAATGGACTAATACGTATATACCAGCTTTTCTAGTCTACTGAGCACTCAGACTTGTTTCTACTGCAATTCTCATTCACTCAGTCACATAACACTTTTATCTTTCTACACTCACACTCCAATGGCTTCATCGGGGGCATCTTCGGCACACGGCTGGAGCAGTCGGGATCAATCCACTGACAAACCGACTGATAGACGATGCATTCTACCACCTTAGTCACAGCTGCCCTGAAGGGCCTACATCATGGTCATTTACAACAGCAGCCCACCTTTCTGATGAGTTTCTAACGTCCACAATTTAATTTTCAAACCCAAAAGCAGCATCTATGTCATGTATTCCATTATCAACTTAGGCTTGTGTAAACAACGTTCCCATAATGCATTTTGCTGGTGATGTCACAGCTTTATAGAGGCCGATAAATTAAGATGAGAAATGGTTTATCGGGAATCTATGGTACAGTAAATTATTAAGCTATGAGTGTGTACGGGTGAGCTTAATAAGTCTGTGTAGGTTCTCAGTCATCCAGGTCATGCTAATCTCAGGAGCGATTGGACTTCTGTAAGTTGCTTTGCAGAACTTTCTAAAGTGTGACTCTCGAGTGGTTTACCTCCTGTCTATCTTAGGATCTGTAAGTTACAAGCAACTTAAAGAAGTCCAGTCATTTGTTTTCCAAGCTACATAGATGCAGATGGTGTGAGGGGATGTGGAGCAGAGCGATACGTACCTGTCGGCACCGAGTGCATGCAACATCCCCCCAAAAAGTGACACAGAAGGTTTTGGAGCAGGGTTCAAACAAACGAGTGAATACAGACTTTCTTCTGCAGAAACTTCATTTCAATTGAAATTTGAATGTAGGGATAGTTAAGCTCACCTAAAGCCCTGAACTCATTGTTCATTAAGACTTTTACATGGAAGGACTTTATATGTAACAGGAGGGAGGCGATGCTGCCGTGGTCCTGAGTCGTTTGTGTTTTGGGGCTTTCAGGTTTTGTCATTTTTGTGACTCCGGGTTGTTTTTACGTTTATATTGGTTCTTGTATTTCTTTCCCTGAGTGTATTTAGCCCTGTTCTTAGTTTTCAGGTGTTTAATTGACCACTGACCACTACATACAATGACAGATCTTGCATTCTGTGTGTAGCAGCAGCTGATTTTTTCTTACCCCAAGCCCAACTGTCGACACACCACTTCTGCATCAAGATCATCCCATTGGTCATCACAAATGGTTCCCCACCTGCCGTTATGGTACACCTCCACACGCCCCTCAAATTCCTCCAGGCCTCCTGCCAGCCTTAAAGGGATTCCAGTACCTGGCAAAGTGTTGAAGCAACCATTTGTATACTAGTGACAGTAATATGTTACTCTTGTTCATTATTGTTATTAATGTTATTGTTTTGAATGAACAACAGTATGATGCAGCGAGGTGAACGAGTGAAAAGTAAGTACTGAAGCCAACAAATTCAGTCGTTTCTGGGCAGCAGCTGGTTAATTTCTTGAAACTTGATGAAATCTAATTACTGATCAGGAACTCAATGGGGATGTGGCGTACAACACTAGAGGCCAACTCCAAGCCCATAGCACAAGTCACCATCAAGTGCGGGATCTACCAAGGAGATGCTCTGTCCCCACTGCTGTTCTGCATAGGCCTGAACCCCCTCAGTGAGATCATTAACAAGACTGGCTACGGATACCGACTACGGAACGGAGCAGTTGTCAGCCACCTCCTGTACATGGATGACATCAAGCTGTATGCCAAGAGTGAACGAGACATCGATTCACTGATCCACACTACCAGGCTATACAGCAATGACATTGGAATGTCGTTCGGACTGGAGAAGTGTAGTCGGATGGTAACAAAGAGAGGGAAGGTAGTCAGAACTGAGGGGATTGAACTACCAGAAGGCAACATTGCAGACATAGAGGACAGTTACAAGTACTTGGGGATCCCACAGGCGAATGGGAACCACGAAGAGGCCGCTAGAAAGGCTGCAACCACCAAGTACCTGCAGAGGGTCAGGCAAGTCCTGAGGAGTCAGCTGAATGGTAAGAACAAGATCCGGGCCATCAACACGTACGCCCTGCCCGTGATCAGGTACCCTGCTGGGGTAATAGGCTGGCCAAAGGAGGAGATAGAAGCCACTGACATAAAGACAAGAAAGCTCCTTACCATGCATGGAGGGTTTCACCCCAAGTCCAGCACCCTGAGGCTGTACGCTAAGCGGAAGGAAGGGGGCCGGGGACTGGTGAGTGTCAGCACCACAGTCCAGGATGAGACAACGAACATCCAAGAATACATTGGGAAGATGGCCCCAACTGACAGAGTGCTCAGTGAATACCTCAGGCAGCAGAAACCCAAGAAAGAGGAGGGAGACGAGGAACCATCATGGAAGGACAGGCCCCTGCACGGTATGTACCACCGGCAGATAGAGGAGGTGGCTGATATCCAGAAATCAAATTCAAAATTTCTAATTCAAATTCAAATTTTATTTGTCACGTACACAGTCATACACAGTATGATATGTAGTGAAATGCTTGGACAACTGCTCGTGACCTAAAGAAAACAAAAAAGGAAAAGGCTATGAATAAGATAGGAAATAAATATGAAAAATTAAAAAGGGTAAATTTAACTAGGAAGGAATAAAATATAAATTAAGGTTAAAAATGAAATAACTGTACAACACAAATTAGAATGAAGGGTAAATTTAACTGGGAGAATAAGATAAAATATATAAATTAAAGTTGAAAATAAAATAACTGTACAACAAAATACACAATATAGAACTATATAAGAATGTATGAAGAAATATAAATAAATATATACACAATAACAGCAGCGTGATTTAAGTGATGAAGTGAAAACAATGTCCAGAAAGTCCAGTGTGTGTGTAAGAACTATATGTGTGGGTCAGTACTGTGTGGTGGTGTGATTGAGAGACCGTATCGCCTGCGGGAAGAAGCTCCTCCTCAGTCTCTCTGTGTTGGTCTTCAGGGAGCGGAATCGCTTTCCTGACCTCAGCAGAGAGAACAGTCTGTTGTTGGGATGGCTGAGGTCCTTCACCATCTTCCTGGCCTTGGTCCAGCACCGCCTGCTGTAGATTGAGTGCAGGTCAGGGAGCTCGGAGCGGATGGTGCGCTCAGCTGACCGCACAACCCTCTGTAGAGCTCGTCTGTCCTGCATGGTGCTGTTCCCGAACCAGGTTAAGATGTTTCCCGTCAGGATGCTCTCTATGGTGCAGGAGTAAAAGTTCCTGAGCACCTTGGAGGGCAGTTGGAAGTCTCTCAAGCGTCTGAGGTGGTGGAGACGCTGACGGGCCTTTTTCACCACGGTGTTGATGTGACAGGACCATGACAGGTCCTGCGTGATGTGAACTCCGAGGTATTTGAAGCTGTCCACTCTCTCCACTGGGCACTCGTTGATGACGGGGGTCTGGTAGTTCCTCTCCTGCTTAGTGCTGAAGTCCACTATCAGCTCCTTTGTCTTACTGACGTTTAGAAGGAGGTTGTTCCTCTGGCACCAGTTCTCCAGATTCCTAATCTCCTTCAGGTAGGCCGTCTCGTTGTTATCAGAGATCAGGCCCACCACGACGGTGTCGTCAGCAAACTTGATGATGGTGGTGGAGCTGGTAGTGGCCACGCAGTCATATGTGTACAAAGAGTACAGCAGGGGGCTCAGAACACACCCCTGGGGGGCTCCAGTGCTGAGAGTGGTGGAGGCTGAGACATGTCCGCCCATCCTTACTGCCTGTGGTCTGCCAGTTAGGAAGTTGGAGATCCTCTGACACATAGATGAGCTGAGTCCCAGATGCTCCAGCTTGGTGGTGAGTGTGGAGGGAATTATGGTGTTAAATGCAGAGCTGTAGTCTATGAAGAGCATTTTAACATAATTCCCCCTTCTAGTGTCCAAGTGAGTGAGTGATGTGTGGAGGAGATGAGAGATGGCATCGTCTGTGGAACGATTTGGACGGTAAGCGAACTGTAGTGGGTCCAGTGTGTCTGGTAGTGAAGAAATGATGAAGTCTCTGACCAGGCGTTCAAAGCACTTCATCACTACTGAGGTGAGGGCTACAGGGCGATAGTCATTGAGAGAAGCAGGGTGGGGTTTCTTCGGGACAGGAACAATGATGGACTCTTTGAAGCATGTGGGGATCACCGACTGAGATAAAGAGATGTTGAATATCTCAGTGAACACAGGAGCTAGCTGGTATGCGCAGTCTCTTAGGATACGACCTGGGATGCCGTCTGGTCCTGCTGCTTTCCTGGTGTTCACTCTCTTGAAGGCTCTCCTTACTTCATGCTCGGAGATGACGAGCACGTTTCCGGTGCTGGCAGTATCTTCCTGTCTGCAGCCGTTAGCGCCGCTAACACTAGCATTGTTGGAGTCCTTAGCTGCAGCCTCGAAGCGAGCATAGAAAGTGTTCAGCTCGTCTGCCAGAGTCACGGCCGCGTTCGTCATACCGGTTGTTGGTGCTTTATAGTCCGTTATTGTCCTTAGTCCCTGCCACAGGCTCCTAGAGTCACTCTGTTGGAGTTGTGACTCTAGTTTCCTCCCGTAGCGCTGCTACCATGTGGCTGGACAAAGCTGGACTGAAAGACAGCACAGAGGCACTAATCATGGCAGGAACAAGCTCTGAGCACAAGATCCATAGAGGCTGGGGTCTATCACACCAGGCAAGACCCCAGGCTGTGTAAAGATGCCCCAGAGACAATCCAGCACATAACAGCAGGGTGCAAGATGCTAGCAGGCAAGGCATACATGGAACGCCATAACCAAGTGGCCGGCACAGTGTACAGGAACATCTGTGCCGAGTATAACCTGGAAGTCCCGAGGTCAAAATGGGAGATGCCCCCAAGGGTGGTGGAGAATGACCGAGCTAAGATCCTGTGGGACTTCCAGATACAGACGGACAAAATGGTGGTGGCTAACCAACCGGACATAGTGGTGGTAGACAAACATGAGAAAATAATAAAAATAATAATAATAATAATACATTTTATTTCAAGATGGGGAGAGGGGACGGAGAGAGAAAGAAGAAGATCTGAGACACCGAGATGGGATGGTGATCTGAGATATGGAGGGGAGAGATGATGAATAGCCTTAAATGTATACAAGAGTATTTTGAAATTGATGCGATATTTGACGGGAGCCAATGAAGCTGCTCCAGGACAGGAGTGATGGATAGAAGGGGTCCTGGTGCCTGGTGATGATACGAGCAGCAGAGTTCTGGACGCGTTGGAGCGTCCAGAACTTACAAAATTACAATAAAGTAATTTTGTAATTCTTTTTGTAATTTTGAGTTTGTTTGTGATGTAAGGTCACAAATCTCACCTTCAGGTTCAGCACAAAGCACCCCTGCTTCGTTTCCGTGGTTACAGTCTCCAGTGGCAAACTTCCTGTTCCAGCACTCTAGCAGGGAATTCTCGTTACCACGGCAGCCTAGACGCTCATAGTGGAAGATGGGACTGGGGCCAAAGTAGGAATGCTGTAGGGCTATACCAATCTCACTGCATGAAAAGTACATATACAGAGACACTCTTAGTTCAACGATCATCCAGGCAGCATATATCTGACCTCACCCAGTGGGACATCCAATCACATTATTTACATCTAATCACCCACACCTTATCATCCTCTCTCTAACTTACACGATTTAACACAAAGTTTAAACTGCGCATGTTCTTCTTTTGTGTCATTCTTAACATAGCATATTGGAACATTAACCACACATGGATATAATTCATGTTTCATCGAGTTTATGTAATTCTAGATTCTAGATATGTCTTTAGCACATTCTCACATGAAGATTATTATATCAGCTTATTTTTATGAAATCATATATTTTATAAGACATTTTCTGAGATTAGTGGCTGCCCAGTGTCACCCCTCCCTCCCTGTAAAACACACCAAGGTCAGACTGTCTCTCGGTGAGGCCTGATTAGAATCATTACATAGATTTATTTACTAATTTATTCTGTGTTAAACTTATACATACTCATTTTAATACACCTGATAATATTCTGATCAGTATGAACCATAAACAACTATCAACAAAATCACATATGAATTATGGTTCTGTGGTCAACCATTAACACGCCTTCCTTCAGTTAAAATGTGGACAGTTCTTATCTTCTCACATTCCTTCACACGCATTCACACACTAATCTACCAGGTTAAAGATGGATCATGTACTCACATCATGTTATCATTTAACATATCAAACTTATATTCTGATTTGTCTCTGATTAAGAAAAAATCCCATTATTATTATAAAGCTCTGATTCAGCCCTGATCAATTTTAATCACATTAAAGACCTTCCACTCCCTCTCAGCTGTAATGACAGGGGCGGCCAGCGGGGACATCCGTCCCTCTCGACCTCACATCACCTGCAACATCAACTTGTCCCAGTGTGTTTGTACACACTGTGTTGGTATGCAGGCATGTCTCACTGGTTGAGAACTGCCTTAATTCTTTGTAGCATTGATTCACAAAATTGCTGGAAACATTTCTTAGAGATTTGGGTCGATACCGACATGACAGCATCATGCAGCTGCTGCAGATTTTGGTTGTCCAATTTATCAATTCCACCACATCGTGAAGTTTCTCAGTTAGAGATCTAGAGACCATGGAGACCAAAGTACTGCAATGTTTTAGTCTTCTCTTCTCCTGCTGAGTGTGTGTGAATTGTAACCCCAGTTTCTGGGTATTAGATGACGGGAGGTAGTATACTACTATTACCTGTGGGCCAAGGTTCGACATGTCGTGCTCTTCTTCAGTTCAATTCTGTACTATTTATTTAAGGCCAAATCAAAATAATGGTTGCCTTAAGGCTTAAGTAAGTAGTGGTTATTTGAGCTACTAAGCTAATGTTGCCTTCCTATCAGCTTCAAACAGTGTAGTGATTGCCCTCTGACCTCTGGCATCAAAAAGGTATTTTGTACAGAACACAGTCACTCACTGATTTGTTTCTATTTTTGGGCCATTCTCTGTGCCCAGGAGATCAGCACTTTCATAATTACTCAGCTCTAGTACTGCCAGCCTGTGCAGCACCAACAACCACGCCGAGCTCAAGTTCACTTAAATCACCTTTCTTCATCGTTCCGATGCTTGCCTTTGCGATTTAGCAGGCAATATCCTCATAAGCACAGATCTGCTGCCTGATTATATAAAGATGAGGAAAAAATTCCCTCATATCAAAATTCAAATGTAAAATATTCCCAGAACAAGGAATTTTTAACACACCTTTTCCAACTGTCCTTTTTTATTTTGGATGCCTACATTATTTTTACTTTGAACACAGAAACAACATTATTTCTAAAAAACAACAACAAACAAAAATAAATATCACCAAACGGATCCTAATAGTCAGCAGTGTGTCCTTTTTACTAGATAACATGTTGGTCTTGTCGGGTTGTTCTTCATCGGGAGCACCGTGTGTTTTGGCTCTCGTCATGTTGGGAGACAAAGCGATGACCCCAGACCCAGTTTTGCAGCTAAGAGCTGATCTCAGCGTGTCCTCCTTTCTTCATGATGAGAGTCCTCAAACACACCGAAGTATCTGCACAGCGTAATACTCCCACCATCGTGTTTCGTTGTGGAGATACTGTTCTTTGGGTTCTGTCTCTGTACCCGAAGAGCTCTAGTTTTGTCTCATCAGAACCACATGTGTATATATACTAGGGGTGCAACGATACACAAAATTCACGGTTCGATACTTTGGTGTCACGGTTCGATATTTTTTCGATACAAAAAAATGTTCATGCTTTTTTAATTTGTCATTTATTAAAATTATAAATATATACTTTAACTCAAAGGTACAGTTTTTAAATTTAATGTTGCTGAAACAACAAAGTCATAAAATAATAAATCTATCTGATTGAGGAATCACTCATCTTTGGAAAAGAGTTTATTACAGAGAAATGGCTCTTTCCAAAGTAAAAGCAATACTATACGCTTCTTCTGGACTATATTCTCAGCAGCATATTAAACATATCAGGTGCCCATAAGGAGAATCCTGTGCTAACGGCTGTCTAAATGACTCGGCTAAAGTTTGTAGCATGCTGCTTGTTGTTTTTGTCTGCTTCCACTTTGCACTAGGATGATGTCGGAGTAAATGTGCAGTCATACTCGTTGTGTTCCCACTAGTGCTGTCAGCGTTAATCTGAAATGACGTTAACGTCACAACACGGCAAATCTCTGTTAACGAGCTACTGCGGATCGCCCCGTGCGTGGGGCTGGACGGCCAACACGTTAACGAGCTAACTGCGCTAACACACTAGTTCCCACCCATGTAATTGAGCATTGTGGCACATCCAACATACTGTTTTACTTTAGTCCATGACTCGCTTACCTTCAGCTTAACTTCTGTCTCGCTAGCTTGCCCTGCGCTCAGTGAATCTGCGTTCGACTACTCCGCCTAGGCTGCACTGCAGAAAAGTTGATAAAATAAATTACAAATGTTGTACTGTTCGATACATATGCGTACCGAACCGAAAGCACTGTATCGAACGGTTCAATATCGATACGAGTATCGTTGCACCCCTAATATACAGTATGTATGTATACATGTATATATATATATTACCTTTAAGACTGGTTCTTAGCACTTTTCTACTCTGAGTACTCAAAGCACTTTTATGCAACTCGTTCCTTCTCCAAATCACACCCATTCATTTCATCTAGTTTTTTTTTAGTGCTATCTAACTAACATTCATACACATTCACACTCAGATGGATGCATCGGAGAGCAACGTGGGGTTAGTATCTTGCCCAAGGATATTTGGCATGCTGCTGGAGTAGAACCAACAACCTTCCAGCTAGCAGGTGACAGCTCGACCACCTGAGCTACAGCCACCCCACAGATATGCATAGTGTTCGTCCAGGTGTCCTTGAAGGTGTCTCTTCTGCAGAAGTGTAGTTGTTGTTGGTCTGCAGCCTCAGTCCATTCCAGTGATCATCTTCTTTAAAACTACTTGGCTACATCATTCACGAGTGTCTTGGCAGCAGTTCTGGGGTCTTTGGACACATCTGTTTTAGTGCCTGAGTCTTTGAAATGGTTGCTTCCTACCTCTGCCAGACTTGTTTTGTTCTGTGAATTTCATGATGATACTATAAAATATAATAATGAACTAATTTCTTTAGCCTTTGGCATGATGCTTTCTCAAGTGACAAACACGGCCAACAGAAATAATTCATGGTCTATAATAAAAACTAGCAAGTTTAGAAATGCTAGGGTAAAAGCACAGTGCTTGATTTCTTTGCAATAACCTTTAATTTCATAGGTTTGCTAATAGTCTTATCTTTGATCTATATTTACATTAACAAGCAGCTGAAAAGACATTAAAAGACATACATAATAACAGTTAAATACCACATTTTCTGCACAAGCACAGTAATACATTTAAACTCTGGTGGTCACCTGTTCTTGAAAGGATTCTGTTGCCATGTTTTTGTATGTTGCCGAAGCAGGAACTACATTACATTAGTAAATGCCTCACTCTACTACTTGAGCCACAGCTACTCATGTGTGTGTTCCTCAGCTGGGTTAAAATTAAAGCTCTGCCATTACCTTAGTCCAAGCTGTCTGCATATGACACTGGCATCACGGTCAGTCCAGTGTGTGTCACATACTGCGCCCCACTTGTTATTCACATACACCTCCAGACGGCCACTGTTGCCTGAACCCCCCACCAGTCTGACTGCACCTACACACATCAGGAAGAACTTCAACAAGCAGAACTCGTACAATAATAACAAAATAAAATATCATTTTAAACAAGAATCTTTATGAAATCAGTGGTTTGATCATTCTACCAAAAGTGAAGTGTCACTGGCACCTATGACGATACAACATAGCTACTCAGAGGAAACTGTGGACTGTGTGGAACGCTTAAATTGTAACCTGTCACTTTGAGCAAAGGTAAATATGCTTAAAAAGGAAAAAGACAATCGCAGAAAGACATAGAAAGGCTTTTGCTTCAAAATTGAATCTACAAGGGGATAATGAAATGAATGCATATACAGGATGCACCCAGGCCATCTGCAGCCCCCAAAAGCACTGAAGCCCTAAGGCCATACAACTTGATGACAACTGCAAGCCCACTGCAGCCGCAACATGACAAAGGCCCCAGACGGGGAGGCTCCCAAAAGACAACCAGAGAACCAGAGGCAACAGCCATCCCTGTGAGAGGACAGGACAAGCTGAGGACAGGACACCAGGTCCTCGGGTCCACACTGGAGCCTCTTCAACTAACTTTCTCTGGCTCTGGAACATAACATAGCCCAAGATCACCTTGGGAAACTGGTCACTGATGCTGAAGCCTGCCTCCTTACCGTCTCCTGGATGCTTGAAAACACTACTCATACTGTGGGCCTGAAGAAGGATAACAGTTTTATTAAATTATTTTTATTTTCTACTCAGGCAGAGTAGGCAGGTCATTCCCTTGGTGAGGGATGTCACCAACTCTTGGAAGACTGCTTTTCTGCAGCGAGTGTTTTCACCTGCTGCTGGCTGGACACCACTGAGTTCAATTCAATTTTATCTCTAAAGCACCAAATCACAACAGCAGCTGTCTCAAGCCAACCAAACAGAGCCTGAAACTCACTGTGAAGAATTTCCAGTAGCAACAGGTGTGCATCAGAACAGTCTTTTATCTACAGACTCCAAAATGTTCACTGTTTCAGAGGAGTCATCAGTTGTGCTTCCTTGGTGGATGGAGTGCCTTTGCTGCTGCAACGAGTTGGCACCTTGTTTGGTTTCCCCACAACACCTAACTTGAAACAATCATCATCCTAATACCCATAATATACTTTTATTACCTTTAAGACTGTCTACAAATAAACTGATGGAAAAGAATAATCACTGAAATAATTGGAATCAGTTGTGCATCATCATAGCGCTCCCACATCCATATACACAGGGAGTGCAGAATTATTAGGCAAATGAGTATTTTGTCCACTTCATCCTCTTCATGCATGTTGTCTTACTCCAAGCTGTATAGGCTCGAAAGCCTACTACCAATTAAGCATATTAGGTGATGTGCATCTCTGTAATGAGAAGGGGTGTGGTCTAATGACATCAACACCCTATATCAGGTGTGCATAATTATTAGGCAACGTCCTTTCCTTTGGCAAAATGGGTCAAAAGAAGGACTTGACAGGCTCAGAAAAGTCAAAAATAGTGAGATATCTTGCAGAGGGATGCAGCAGTCTCAAAATTGCAAAGCTTCTGAAGCGTGATCATCGAACAATCAAGCGTTTCATTCAAAATAGTCAACAGGGTCGCAAGAAGCGTGTGGAAAAACCAAGGCGCAAAATAACTGCCCATGAACTGAGAAAAGTCAAGCGTGCAGCTGCCAAGATGCCACTTGCCACCAGTTTGGCCATATTTCAGAGCTGCAACATCACTGGAGTGCCCAAAAGCACAAGGTGTGCAATACTCAGAGACATGGCCAAGGTAAGAAAGGCTGAAAGACGACCACCACTGAACAAGACACACAAGCTGAAACGTCAAGACTGGGCCAAGAAATATCTCAAGACTGGTTTTTCTAAGGTTTTATGGACTGATGAAATGAGAGTGAGTCTTGATGGGCCAGATGGATGGGCCCGTGGCTGGATTGGTAAAGGGCAGAGAGCTCCAGTCCCACTCAGACGCCAGCAAGGTGGAGGTGGAGTACTGGTTTGGGCTGGTATCATCAAAGATGAGCTTGTGGGGCCTTTTCGGGTTGAGGATGGAGTCAAGCTCAACTCCCAGTCCTACTGCCAGTTTCTGGAAGACACCTTCTTCAAGCAGTGGTACAGGAAGAAGTCTGCATCCTTCAAGAAAAACATGATTTTCATGCAGGACAATGCTCCATCACACGCGTCCAAGTACTCCACAGCGTGGCTGCAAGAAAGGGTATAAAAGAAGAAAAACTAATGACATGGCCTCCTTGTTCACCTGATCTGAACCCCATTGAGAACCTGTGGTCCATCATCAAATGTGAGATTTACAAGGAGGGAAAACAGTACACCTCTCTGAACAGTGTCTGGGAGGCTGTGGTTGCTGCTGCACGCAATGTTGATGGTGAACAGATCAAAACACTGACAGAATCCATGGATGGCAGGCTTTTGAGTGTCCTTGCAAAGAAAGGTGGCTATATTGGTCGCTGATTTGTTTTTGTTTTGTTTTTGAATGTCAGAAATGTATATTTGTGAATGTGGAGATGTTATATTGGTGTCACTGGTAAAAATAAATAATTGAAATGGGTATATATTTGTTTTTTGTTAAGTTGCCTAATAATTATGCACAGTAATAGTCACCTGCACACACAGATATCCCCCTAAAATAGCTACAACTAAAAACAAACTAAAAACTACTTCCAAAAACATTCAGCTTTGATATTAATGAGTTTTTTGGGTTCATTGAGAACATGGTTGTTGTTCAATAATAAAATTATTCCTCAAAAATACAACTTGCCTAATAATTCTGCACTCCCTGTAGAGCAATCTGATCACTTTCTGACCACTTAAGGTGTTTTAGACTACATGCCATCTTCAGACACCTGCTGCCCACCCTTAATTCACCTTGATGACAATCACAATAAGCCCATCCAATGGCTCCAGAGGTCTTTCGGAAGAAGCACCACGGTTTGGTTTCTCTGTCTGGGTTTCGGCAGAAGTTATGGTCTCCCAGGCCTCGGTTTGGATACTGCTGCATGTAGTCTGGGAAGTTAGTCCACTTTAAGCATGGGGAGCCTGCGTCTGTGTGAGAAACCGAGCCATTATAGTGGCCCAGTTTAGTGAGACCCTCTGAACAGGACAGCAGCACTGCAGACACAGACAATCATCCGTCAGTGAGACAACATGTTAATAAAGTCACATTCCATACAAACTTTTCATTTTATACAAACACAAATGGTTCTTTATACAGAGCATTTCAAGATGTTAAAAAGATGAGAGAGACGAGGTTAAATAAATAGAAAAATGATTGTAAATAGTAAGCCTTCACTCAGTGTAAACATTACTTCAGCACAAACAGAGCACGTGTGATAAAAAGACACTAATTCCAACATGTAGATGAAACATCTGGAATAAAGGGGAGTGGCTTCTCTGCTGCCGCCGTCTTGCTGAGGAGTCTGACTATGAGAGCTACTGTTGTACCCTAACTTTGGTTGTGTTTAGTTATTTATTTACTCGTTCCCAACTGTCTCATAGCTGGTTTTTGTGATAAGTTGCAAAGTGCTCTGTTTATGCAACGTAAGAAAGTGAAACATTTATTATTATTTTCATGTTTTGGCTGCGATCAAATGCATCTAATAAAAATTATTCCTATTATTATTGTTACAATCACCTGAATGACCGACTGGACTGGAGGACCAACAGTGATGCTGAGCAGACTCAAGCTGCCATCCTTTGATGGGTTCAGCAAGATGTGAATGCCATCTATTTTGCTTTTTGTGGTGTAGTATTTATAGGATATATACCATTATTATTTTTCTCTTGTCAGCCTTACTCTTCTTTAACTTACCTCATTTTTACTTTTCTTTGTTTTTATCACTGTTGTGTATGTAACATTTCTTAGACATAAGACCCAAACTGAAGTCAGGTGACATAAGGAATACACGATAGTGATTTCTATCAAGGCTCGTTCTATTCTGTGAAGACGAAATCAGACTGGAATTGTTCATAAAGCTTTTTGCCAGACAACTGAGCACAAACCTGCGAAACGACTCCAGGATTTTAGATACGAAGCTTAGGTTAGATATAAAATGACAGTTGTTGCAATTCCTGAGATGAGAGACTTCAATAATAATTTGCTTCTGGACTTCTATGAAAGGGAAATATATATCAAGCTGGTAGCTTAACACTGATGCCATGGCCAACAATGTGAGGAAGGCACTCCCCAGCAATCTGCAGCTTTTCCACACCCTGATTTACTCAACCCAAGTCTAGGACTATTCCTCAGCACTGGCAAAACATTGCTCACCTAAAATGTTTTCCTTATCTGACAAAATTACTTATTTATTCACTGATTTCACTGATACTTGCTGCACTGACAGGTATGTACATATAGTGCTTAGCACATGGAGCTTCGTTCCCCTCCAGCTGGATCTCAAAGACCAAATACAGAAAATAACTTACCTGCACTCTGAACTACATTCAAGTGCGTCCATTGAGAAATCTGTTAAAGAAACACAAACCCCGTGGAACGCAATGTGAATAGGAATTACAGAGCAACAAGAAATACAGATTTTAACAAAACTAAATGTTCTATTATTATAATGAAATATCATACAACCATAAAGGCTGGCTTACTGTGTCAAATGTAGATGTAGTTCATTTTTTTAAAAAGCTGATAAAGCAATATTTTAATTCATAACAAAACACTGAAAAATGTTGAGAAGAAGTCTGGGATGTCTGTTTAGGAACATTTTGCAACTATAGTTATCTAATTGAATTCACCTAATTATAATTAGGTGAATTAAATTAGTAACAGGTCACCAACATGACTGCAATAACGAAGAGAAAACCCCGACAATTCTATGACCCCATATGAGCAAGTGCTCGTGACAGTGGGAAAGAAAAACCTCCTTTTAACAGAAACAAATCTCCAGCATAACCAGGCTCGGGAAGAGGCAGCCATCTGCCACAGCCGTGTGGTGTATAAACACCCAGTGAGTGAAAAAAGGTGCATGAAGAAGTACAGTATAACCCTTACCACCCTGAGCCAATTGCAACGTGACTAAGAGAGGATTCAGGGTCACCTGGTCCAGCCCTAACTATATGCTTTAGCAAAAAGGAAAGTTTGAAGCCTGATCTTGAAAGTAGAGATAGTGTCTGTCTCCTGAATCCAAACTGGAAGCTGGTTCCACAGAAGAGGGGCCTGAAAACTGAAGGCTCTGCCTCCCATTCTACTTTTAAATACTCTAGGAACAACAAGTAGGCCTGCAGAGCGAGAGCGAAGTGCTCTAATAGGGTGATATGGTACTACAAGGTCATTAAGATAAGATGGGGCCTGATTATTTAAGACCTTGTATGTGAGGAGCAGGATTTTGAATTCTGGATTTAACAGGAAGCCAAAACAGGAGAAATCTGCTCTCTCCTTCTAGTCCCTGTCAGGACTCTTGCTGCAGCATTTTGGATCAGCTGAAGGCTTTTCAGCGAGTTTTTTGGACTTCCTGATAATAATGAATTACAGTCGTTCAGCCTGGAAGTAATAAATGCATGAACTAGTTTTTCAGCGTCACTCTGAGACAGGATGTTTCTAACTTTAGAGATGTTGCACAAATGGAAGAAAGCAGTCTTACATATTTGTTTAATATGTGCGTTGAAGGACATGTCCTGGTCAAAAATGACTCCAAGGTTCCTCACAGCGTTACTGGAGGCCGAGGTAATGCCATCCAGAGTAAGAATCTGGTTAGATACCATATTTCTAAGATTTTCAGGGCTCAGAAAATATTCTGTTTTGTCAGAATTTAGCAGCAGTAGGTAGAGTGTTCGCCCCATGATCAGAGGGTCAGGGTTCAAATCCACCAAACGGCTACCCCTGAGCAAGGTACCATCTCTACACACTGCTCCCCGGGCGCTGGACTGGTGGCTGCCCACTGCTCTACTCAGTGAATGTTTTAAATGCAGAGGAGTAATTTCCTACGGGATAATAAAGTATACAAAGTATACATTATTAAAAGGAGGAACAGAAAAAATAATATGAAGATTAAATTAAAAAATAAATATTTCTCCCTCCAGTTATTTTATTGTTCAACCTTGCCTGTCGTGTCTTTCTACTAGACAAAAACTTGGCCCCACTAGTAGCAAATGTAAAAAGTGCATGTGGCCAGAGGGCCCCCACAGGGCCCCCAAATACTTCATCTTTTTTTCCATAAGAAGGAGAGAATATTGTAAAGTTTCTTTCCATTAGCTTCTTTTAAATGGATTGTATGGTTTGAAGAGATCCCTTTGAGATATTCAGAGGAATTTCCTTAAAGGCTCTGAAGCATTCACACTTATCTGCAGTGATGTGACACAAATAAAAGTGTAGACTTTGACCTGCTTACAATATGAAGCACACTGACCAATCGCCAACAAAGAAGGAAGCTGCGTTGATAATGGTTTTCTGTGAACTATAGCACATTAGAATGGGCTTAAATGTGTTGCTGTTAAAGTGGGTGGTCAGTAAAACAATATCCTCCAAAAAAGTGCTTCATGTTATTCACTTTGTGAAAATAGATCATTAACTCTTCAAAATATTTAAACGCATTTCTAACCAATTTCATTTCCCTGCTGTTCTTTACCAGAGGGCAGAGGGGTGCTTGGTACTCGATGTTCAAGTCATGTCTGAATCCTTGGAACAGGCAACTTGCCATCTGTACAATCAGGTATAATCTAAGGCCTGTAGGAAAAAAACTGAGGTGAAAATCATGTTTGGAAACGGATCTCTACATTCCCTCCACATTTGGATATCTAGGTCTGGTTTAAAATTCGCTCTTAATTTAAAAAAGGGCAGGAGTGAGAAAGTCTTCAGCCTACGTTGGACCACCGTTTGTGACTATCGGTCTAACTATTGATGTTTTGAGAAAAACCTGCTTGTGACGGCACTACTGAGTTTTTTGCTATTATTTAACAGGTCTTGCAGTTTCATGAACAGTCAAATAAATAAATAAATAAACTGATATGTCATTACCAATTCTAAGAGTTGATACGAAGCACTATAGAAATATCAGGCGAAAATGGAGGCAGCGAGTTCCAGTAATAGTGCAACAGACATCTGGAAATTTGCCAGCGAGCTATTAAAATAAATACGGTATTTATCTCTGCCTTTGTTTTGATTTGTTCTTAATGTAAGTGTGACGGAAAGCGATGAGCGCATACAAACAGTTTAAACTCAGCATGGCACAGACCAGTGTCCCGGTTTACTTGACACAATGTGTTCCGCGACAAAGACGGCTTTATATAGGCTGAGCGTGTTGGGCAGCAGCGTGCTCACCTCTGCAGACACCGCCAGCGCCAGTAACAGACAGCACGGGACAAATCCGGACACAGCTTTCCTCTGCTCCATCGTGCTGAGGAAACCATATTCTCTACACTGCCAGCGCACACATTCACCAAGTCTTCACGGCCTCTGACAATCCTTCCTCGATACGAAACACACAGGATACTGTCCGCTTTTAACCGAGGTACCGACGTCCAAGTCGCTCCAGAGCTAAAAATGACGCGCTGTTGGAGAGGAAAGGGCACACCAATATCGCTACCCACCCTCTCTCTCTCTCACTGACTCATTCACGCACTCTCTCTCTCTCACACCATCACCTTAAAATCGTATGACGCGTTTTTGTCTATGGTCCGCCTCCCTATTCACGGAATTACACCCTCAATATGTGACATCAGAACTTTCGTAAATAATTGACGCTTCTTAAGGGGAAATATTTATCATTTGACAAAGATTATATGACAGGGCGTGTCAGTACAGTGAAACTGTTGTTGTGAATTGATCACTGACGGTGGTTTTAAGAAGCGTCCCTAGTCATTAAGAACAACTACTGCAGCACATGTAGACTCGCCAGAGAGAGAGAAAGGGTTCTCTGCTAGGGAAGTTTAAACGAAGCCTCCTCAAACTCAGCAGCTGAGCTTTTAACTGATCCTTTAACTTTGCCCAACATGTTTCTGGACCAACCCATATAAAAGGCCATACCTTGGACCTTGTCTTTTCTTTGGGCCTCGATATCGAGGCTGTACATTTGAGTGATGATAACGGTGTCTTTTTTTTAGCTCAATTCTAGTTCTAAACAAACACTCATAGATCATAACAGCTGAGAGGTTCTCTGTCATGACTGACAGTTCTCTACTTTCTCATGAAATAAAGAACCTGATTAAAACAGGTTCTATCTCACAGGAAAAGGCATGCCCTTGGATCAATCAGTCCATTTTAAATTTGAGGAGAATATGCTGCAAAGCTGAACGACTATGGAAGAAAACTGAACTTGGCTCTATCTCAGAGATCTCGTGTTCTCTTGAAATGAAATCAGAATATTTTTCTAGACTCATATCAAAAAACGAGAAATCCCGAGATTCTGTTTGACAAAATCAGATCTATCGTGTCCCCAGATGTGGTACCTGTGCACTCTCAAGCAGACAGTAACAAACTTCTTTGATGTTTTGTTGAGTAGATCAAGTCCTGACTCCTGGTCAACTTTTACAACTGTGACATATGATGTAATAGCAGCCCCGGTGGACAAAATGAAGCCGTCTTCAGGTCCCTCAGATTTTCTCCCCCACTAAACTTTTTTAATGTTTCATGTTTTCTAATCGTTTCCCAGCTTTTTTTAAACGTGCCATTGTAAACCCCAGCCTGGATTCAACACTACATCAACATGATAGACCTACTTTCAAACTCCCTTTATGTCAAAACTTTCTGAGAAGGCAGTTACTGTCCACCTTATAGCGCACTTGGATAAACAGTTAATCCTACCATCCCGATAAACACACTGAGAGATCTGGTTGGGTTGTCTGGCTCTGTCCTTGAGTGGTTTTCATCCGACATATCTGACAGGAGTCTAAGGCTGCGTTCACACTGCAGGCGAAAGCGCATCAAATCCGATTTTTTTGACCCTCTGCGACCCATCTATCCGATCATGGTGTGACAGTGTGAACGGCACAAATCCGATATTTTCAAATCCAATCTGGGTCACTTTCGTATGTGGTACTGAATCCGATACATATCCGATGTTTCAGAAAGCGACTGCTGTTTGAACGGTCAAGTCGCATTAAATCCGTCTTTTACGTCACTGACACAAGACAGACGCCAACTATCAGCGCCGGAGAAGACATCGTGAACGCTTCCTGGCCATCCGGTGAAACTGTTGGGAAGACAACGTTGGAGAAACGTGAACATTTTATATGTTCTGTATAATCTGCAGATTCTGACAGAAATCTGCAGCTATCCTTTGAAGCACAGCTCCTCTAAAACAGCAACAAGGATCATTATTAGGTTATTTACATTATTATGTAAATAACAAATAACTTAAAGCAAAAACTGGGAAACATGAAGTCCAAAGTCTTTATATTAAGGCCATCAGTCAAACATACTGTTGCTCTGGGTCTAAACAGAGCGCGCTGTGTGTGACGTCTTCTTTTGCACATGCGAGCGCTTTGAGCGTTCACACTAGAGAGCGTTTGCTGTCGCATTTAATTTGTAGTGTGAACGAGCAGACAAAAAAATCAGATTTGATAAAAAAATCGGAATTGAGCATCAAGACCTGCAGAGTGAACGTAGCCTCAGTCTGTCTGCAAACCAGATTATGTCTGAATCTACAGAGTTATGTGGAGTTCCTCAGGGCTCCGTGCTGAGACCTACTCTGTTTTTAAAATACATTCTTCCTTTAGGCCAGATAATATCTGCTGATGCTGTCTACCTATCACCTTCCTTACCACTTGCATTACACTTCCTCACAGGGACCAGCTCCCAGTTTGGATTCAGGAGACAGACCCCCTCTGTACTTTTAAGTTTAGGCTTAAAACGTTCCTTTTTGGGAAACATATAGGTAGGACTGGATCAGATGACCCTCAGACCTCCCTTGGTCACGTTGCAATAGGTCTGTTGAGGGCTTCTCATGATGCATCCATGAACACATGAACACATGCGTGTTTAGTCTCTGGCTCTGTTCTACAGCATGTATTTGTCCTGTCTTCTTCCCTCACCCCCAAGGTGGCCACCCCTCCCTGACCCTGGTTCTGCTGGATGTTTCTTCCTGTTTAAAGGGAGTTTTTCCTTCCCACTCTTTTCAAAGCACTTGCTCATATGGGGTCCAATAATTGGTCAGGTGTTTCCCTATAATTGTAGCATCTTTATGTTACAATATAAACAACTCTGAGATGAATGTTGTTGTGATTCAGGACTATATAAATGACTGAATTAAAAAAAAAAATCAGCAGGTCAACAAGTACTGAGTGGTACATCGCTACTATTAAACTTGTTTTGTAAATAGTGTTTCCTAAATTTGTACAGTAAGTGTGTCGTGGAGAACCCTACAGTATACTGGGGAATATGGAAGAAACTGCTCCTTTTGTGAAGGTCTATGTACAGGCAGGAGTCGAATGCAGGACTCAGCAGTTAAAGAACAACACATTTATTCACAATTTCCAAAAGACCAAAGACTTGTGACGGTTCGAGGCAAGGAGCTGGGCAGCACTGACTGTTAGCAGACAGCAGTCCAGCAAAGACTGAAGCCACTACTTATGAAACGGCTCCAGCTAAGTCATCAACAGCAGGTCTGTGATCAGGCTGAACCAGTCACATCAGGCCATTTTATTGTACTTTTAAATTACACAGACAAGCAGAAGCAGGAGCAGGAGCAGGCAGGTCTTCTACACCCACATTTCCTACACTCTACCCGGTGATAGGTGACCTGTTGACTGCCTCCCTGGATCATTGCTGGCTCAGTGTGGTACTAGGCCTGAGTCTGGGGCTTGCTGGGCCTTGGTCCCTCTGGGAGATTGTTATTAAGGTTGGGGATTCCCCTTACTGCCGCTCCCCCCTTGTCGCTTCCTAGGTGTTGTGTATCATTTGAGTATGCTTTGCTACAGATGCAGCGGTTGGAGACCCAGCCTGTGTATTTGCTTTATCCTCAACATCTCCCCTCCCTCCCTCAGACCATTATTCTGCTTGCTACAACTTCTGAACAGGACTGGATCAGACAGATAAGCAGAGCCCGATAAGCTGCGTTTTACTTGGCACTGATTGTGAAAGTTTGCCAGAAAAAACAAAACAAAACGAGGATGATTACGACCCTGATCTTAATCATCTCCGTCTTTGGGCTGAGGCTTCAGATGCCTCTAACACCGCGTGTTCCTGTGTCGCGCATCTGACAATGAAAAGGTAAAAAGAAATACCTCCAAGTAAACAATTTGCCCACTCCAGCTCCCACAGGGGATTTGTGGAAAAGGGGAGTGTATTTATTTTTCTTTAAACCCACTACAACTTCCAAGCTGGCAGTACTTGTCTGTTAATGCTAGCATTACCAGCTCCTACACACATACACAACACACACGTACCACATATTCATAGCAGTAGAGACAGGCCTAATGATTACAATAATAAACTGGATCACCAGAAATATCAGGATTGATAAAGATGTAAGTAGTGTTGGGGACAAAATGAGCCCACAGGGGAACTAAAGGGAGAATGGCCAAAGCAGTACCGCAAATTTATTGCAGTGCACCACAGAAGAATGTGCAGGAGCTGTAACTGATAATGAAGGCAACTACAGGCGTGGAGGTGCTAAGAAACGGTATATCAGCAACAGTTTGGGGGTTTGGAACAGATTGTGTAACTAAAACAATACGTAGAGATAGGTGACAAAGATAAGAAGCAACAGATTCGGAGATCCCACAGAAACACCCTAAAAAGACTCTGAGAAGCGAACATCCTCAGGACCACTCAGTGCTAACAGCCATCGACGTGGGCTGAACCACAAAACCACGCCGAGGCTCCTTTGTTTGTTTGTTTTTTCCAAAAGCAGTCACTGAATAGATATACTTGGAACGTTTGTCACAAACTTATTCTGAGCAACATTAGTGCAATACCAGTGAACAGCAGCTAAGAGTAATGTTGACTCAGTAACTCGTAGCTCCCGTGTTTTTTAATACGATAAGCCTCACATTTAAAAGTGTTGGACACAACAGGGAATATACTAAAACTGGCTGTACTTGGGGTTTGTGTATATTTAATCTATAATTCAGTTATTTTTTAGATAATTAGGTAAATAAATAATATATGTGGTGTAATTGAATGTGTAAGAAGCCCTAAGGTGTGTATGAAACAGTAATTACTGTGGACTGTAAGAAAGTTCCTGTTGAGTGTGGATATTTGGGAGGAAGTGATAAGCAGGGAGGAAATGGTTTGTACAATGATGTGCAGATAAACAGGGATGCAACAGAAAAATGTTCTCACAGCGGCGGGTGCAAATGCTTCCTGTGCCTTAGACAAAACATGAAACAAATCCACACTTTCAACATGGTTCGCTAAATGTCAATAGAAACAAAGCGTCATATTAACCACGTTTTAAAAATCAATCTAGCTTAAAATAGTGTTGTCAGTGAAGTAAAAGCAGTGACAGAATTTTAAATCTAATGCATAACTGTAAAGCTTTATTATTCAGTTTTAGTTCTGATTGTGTTTGTCATGACAAATCATTTACAATAACTTATCCAGTAAATAAGATCAAAGTAACGAATTTATATAGATTTGTTTAGACTTACTAAATGCCCACAAGCCACCAAC